TGTGTGTTTGTGTGTGTGTGACTGTGACATTCTTGTCCAGATTTCTTGTCCTGAGCTGCTGAGTCCAGTACCAAACTGGACTCAGCAGCTCAGCAGGTTTGGAGAATATTTTGGAGAATGTTGTCCTGGACTGTGGGTTTGGGATTCAAGGCTGTAAAGATTTCAAGTTAAAGCTCAGAGCTGCAGCAGAGATCTGTCAGCAGTTTCTCCTTCAGTGAAATCGATTGCTCTGTGATGCATCGTCACCAGCAGCAGCAGCAGCAGCAGCAGCAGCAGCAGCAGCAGCAGCAGCAGCAGCAGCAGCAGCAGCAGCAGCAGCAGCAGCAGCAGCAGCAGCAGCAGCAGCAGCAGCAGCAGCAGCAGCAGCACCTCCCGCTCTGGGGCCAGAGAGGAAACTGGTGGGGGAGGAGGGTGTGAACAAAGACATGTGGGCGTGGAGATGCAGAGGCATGATGTGCACATGTGACCAGTGTCCTCCCAGGAAGAGTCCAGCAGCTGGAGTCAGGGTCAGTGGATGAGGCTCCACATCCAACTTCATCCAACATCATCATCCAACATCATCATCCAACATCATTCTACAACACCTATCATCATCCAGCATCATCCAACTTCATCCTACAACATCATCCAACATCATCCTACAACATCCAACATCATCATCTAACATCATTCTACAACAGCTATCATCATCCAGCATCATCCAACATCATCCAACTTCATCCTACAACATCCAACATCATCATCCAACATCATTCTACAACACCTATCATCATCCAGCATCATCCAACTTCATCCTACAACATCCAACATCATCATCCAACATCATTCTACAACACCTATCATCATCCAGCATCATCCAACTTCATCCTACAACATCATCCTACAACATCCAACATCATCCTACAACATCCAACATCACCCTACAACATCCAACATCACCCTACAACATCCAACATCATCATCTAACATCATTCTACAACAGCTATCATCATCCAGCATCATCCAACATCATCCAACTTCATCCTACAACATCATCCAACATCATCCTACAACATCCAACATCATCATCCAACATCATTCTACAACACCTATCATCATCCAGCATCATCCAACTTCATCCTACAACATCATCCAACATCATCCTACAACATCCAACATCATCCTACAACATCCAACATCATCCTACAACATCCAACATCCCCCTACAACATCCGGCATCAGACAGTGGTGTCAAAGCCGTCACACATTACCCAGAAGCCATCAGGCCTCTCCGACACACTGCTCTAGACCGTGATTCAACAGTTGGCAGTAGAACTCCAGTGTTCTTTTTCTGCTGGTCCAAGGACAACATGAATCTGTCTATGGTCAGAGCAGGTCATCTGGAGTTAACTGTAGTTATCATGTAATTAACTGTGATGTTTCAGTGGATCAGCGTTGCTTCAGGCTAATGTTTCTTTGAAACGCTCCCTTGATGAGATCCAGCAGACAACATGTCTCACTCCACAAATCCACCACTTCACATCCAAACACGTACAGAGGAAGACTTCAGGAGTGTTGGTGGTTTCACTGAATGACTTCACTCTTTATATCAGTGATAGACTTCAGGAGTGTTGGTGGTTTCACTTAATGACTAACGTTAACCTTAATGTAACCAATGACGCAGCAGTTCTGGTTATAAACACTAGTTTTCGTCATGGCCTTCGGTGCAGAAGGATGAACGTAACAAACACAACAAGTTCTCAGGGAGATTAAGCTCAAAAAAGATTTTCAAATTTGGGTCTGCACTGTACTGGTGCTGTACACAGTACTTCCTAAAGTAACACTTCAAATATAGTTTGGTACTGGACCATACTGGACCCTGGTGGTGGAGCAGAGTCAAAGTGACCAATCAGACAAACGTCCATCATCACAGTTACACACTGAGTCTTCTTACCTGTGGGTGTCATGTAATACGCCTCTATGTCAGCCATGTCCGTGTGCAGAGCACAGTCCAAATAACTCTGGATAACTTTCCTGCTGTAGTAGTAGCGCGCACCCATGAGAATGAGGGGCGCGCAGCAGGTCAGTGTGACGGATTTGGTCACGTAAAAGCACATTACTATGGAGAAATGGAAGAAAAATAAACGAAACCTGTCAGAAAAGAGAATCAGATGTTTGATTTTTGGAATTGGAATTTGACCCAAAAAAAAGACACAAAAAATGACATTTGCAAAAAAGTATCAAATACATCAACATTTAACACATTGTTTAATGTTCACATACAGGCCACTGTCCTCTAACTGCCCCCTGGAGGGTAGTTCCTTTTTTTTAAATTGAAGTTGAAATATTATTTTGGCAGAGTTTTGAGGGGAAACTCCCAACTGTTCATTCCACAGCTTTTCTACAAATCACGACCAGATCATACTGGAGCAATTAGTCGGGTGTGACGCTGGAAATGGATGGGGAGGGGGGAGGTGCGGGGGGAGCAAGACTTCAGGCGGTTTGTTGGTTATAGCCTCGGGGCAGGCAGAGGTTCGGGGACGTCCGGTGACATGCAGTGCGCCTCAGTGTGGTCAGCGCTGGAATCTGGATCAGAATGTGTCCTGATGGTTGATGAAGACTGTGGACAAATATGTCAACAACCTCATGTCCTTGGAGTCAACGTGTGGACTCTGAGATCTTATATTCAAACGTGTTTTCATTGGTCCGTGTAACTGTCAGGATTCCACAAGGTTTGACATTAACTACGGACCGATCTGTGTCAGTGCGGGACTGGTGCATTATCTGCTGCTGCTGCTGTGACGATGCGCAGGCGGAGGGAAAGGCGCACGGCTGCGTGTGCACGCTGCTCATGGGCGGGTTTGCTTTGTGGGGGATGCGTGCGCGCACCCCGCAAACCAATCCTCAAATTGCGCTCTGATTTGTACGGCACCGGCGGCGTGACGTCGTCACCACCGCAGCAGCAGCAGCAGGAGCAGCAGCAGGAGCAGGAGCAGGAGCAGGAGCAGGAGTGGGGCTCTGACTGTTACTCACTAAACTGCAGTACAGCTCCTCCTGGCTGCCCACACAGGTGGGAGAAAACACACTGCATTTTCCCTGGTTCCCTCCTCCGCTGCTGGTGCGACGATATGATGTGGTCTTCTCTGAGCTGGAGAAGAAGAACAGACAGAGGTGTGTGTTCATTTTTTACTCTTAATATTTTCCTCATTTAGACACCTGTAATTACTGTGATAATTGAGTGATAAAAATATCCAGTAGTCAAGTAGTTATAAGATGATCTGGATGACTGAGAAAAAAGAAATGCTTTTCAGCTATAAAAATGTATTTGATGACGTATTGGATATCAAAATATTCAAAAGAAATGAACATAAAGAAAATACAATTTTCTCTATTTTACAAAAGGCTTACAAAAGTTATTTTTCTTTAAAATCAACTAAGAATGCTTCTAGCCTGTATGTTTAACCCTTAACAAGAAATAAATTCACATATACTCCAGGACAGAAGTTCAAATTTTCGTCAACACCGGTGGCGAGCTCACGCCGCCCGGGACGCAGGGGCAGCAGGAGCAGCAGCAGGAGCAGGAACGCCGGTTCCACACATGCATCCAGCATGCATGCACACATGCATGCGCCTGCCCGGCCATGCCTGTCTTTTGTTGCTGGGTCGCTCGGTAAAGACGGATGTTTAACTCAACTGTGAGCCGAAAGTAAAGAACGGTTCGATTGGTGTGTTTTGTTAAAAGAGGGGATTTTCCCCCGAATCACATGATGATGATCACATCAGTAAAACTGTGAGAAAAACACGGACATATTCCAGGAACATCGCTCGTTCTAAGACAAAGTCCCTGCAGGAACAGCCGAGCCGGCACATGGGCTCGGTTCTCCTGCTGCAGAGACCCGCTCCTACTCACCTGTCAGGAGAGCGTACAAAAACTGGGTCCGGGGCTGCTGCTTCAGCCCCCTGAAAGCCGTGTTGGGTATCCGCTCCATGATACCCTCGTAAAAGATGCGGCGTACCTCGTCCTGATCCCCGAGCTCGAACTCCCGGATGAAAACCGCATCTCCCCTCATCACATCCTTGGCCTCGGTGGGATCCACAGCCGCGGCGGCGGAGGAAGTGGAAGAACTCCACATGATCGACTCTTTTTTGGTCCCACTCCCAGGTATAGCCTCGTGTTCGTCCGCAACGATTTTAGTCTCGCAAACCATTTTTGGAGACGATAAATGCATGCAACTGGCCGCGGAAAAAAACCCAAGGAGAGTTGGGGGGGTGGAGAACGAAGTGGTTCAGAACCCGGCGGTAAAGATGGTGGCGGTGATGAGGGTGAGGATATGAGGGCTGGGTTTTTTTTTTTTTTGGTTTTTTTCTGAAAAACGGAGAAACGATGGAGGGGAGGCGACGGAGGGGGATGTTCTGCTGCAACCCTGAGCGTTTCTGACGACCAAGACTTGTCAGCGTGATCCGGGCCGTATTTATAGGCAGGCAGGGCGGGTAGCTACGGGTTCAGGGGTTGGGGTTGGTCTTCCCTCTGCACAGATTGGTGGAAATGATGCATTGGTGAAGGGGAGGAGGGAGAGACTCTCTATTTCTGACGAGGTGCATATATAGACGGGCAGGGGAGGGGGTGTGATGGAGAGAGGGGGAGTGGTGATGTGAGCTCGCTCGGTTTCTCCGCAGGTTTGCCTTTACGAGTCTTACAACGCGGAGTACCCCCCGCTTTGTTTAGGTACCGTGAACGCGCCATTGGTGCACAGGCGTGAATGTTGGACGTGAGTACAGTGCGTCAAACTAAAACAAAAAACAAAACAAAAAACATTTGTGTTAAAAATGAAAGTGTGTAAAATCATAACCAGGATTTACTTTCTATTTCATTTCTTACTGTCCAGCACAATTCAGCTAAACGCACCACACTGTGTTGCTGATGCTGCTGATGCTACAGATGCTGTGGCTTCACGGACGCTGCTGTGTATCACTGTCCCACACATCACAATGAAACCTAAAGGCAGCCCAGCGTCTGGGCATCGAACCCCAACCCTCGATCGTCTGCTGTGACGAGTGACAGCTCTGCTGCACTGCAGTGATTCCTCCATGGACGCACGGCTCCGTCCCCACATGGAGACGCGCAGTGCACATCTCTGCGCAGCTGGAACCTCCCAGCATCCGCGGGAGTGTCGGTGGAAGCACGGGAGACGGTGGCAGCGGTTCATGATGATGAAGATGATGAAGATGATGAAGCTGAGTCTGGTCCTTTGTTGTCCCTGGACCCTCCCCTTAATAAAACGCATCTGTTTTTTATGTGCTTTTATTTTGAAATCATCATTATTATTATTATTTTTCTAATAGTTATTTATTATTTTATTGGTTAACTGTCGTGACGTCGTGACGTCCAACAGTCATACTGTCATCCGTATAAAGGTGTGGGTGACTGTCTTTGTTGTTGCGGCTCCTCCACAACCATCACTCCGCCGAACAGCAGAACTAGTTTGAACTGGAAGAAACCTGCTATCGATAAGGCGCTGCGTCCACCCCCACTCCCTCCTATACTTTAAGGTTTCCCTGCCTCCTCCCCTTTATCCCACTCACAGACCTCCCTAGGCGAGGAAGACGAGGAACAGAAAGTGAAGGTGGAGGAGGAGGTGCACATATGTGCTCCTCACCCCTGTCCAGCGGAGAAGATGGATTGGCTGTGCAGCACCTCTGCAGAAAGTGCAGTCAGTCTGTCTGAGTGTCTGACTACACAGGGTGGAGGTTGGCTTTGCGCATGCGCACTACATCCCTATGCCTGCCTGCCGGCGGTGTTGCCTTCCGGTACCGTCGATGATTATACAACAATGAAACAGCACGTTATCGCCAAGGTATCAGGGCAGTTATAGGCAAATCCAAAGGCTGGTCCGCGACCCAATGGTAAACCTTAGATAGGTTATAGGTGGCCGGAAACTTTTGACAATTATTTGGTTTTCTAATCAGGGATTATTAATTATTATGGTCGTTTTTGTCAAAGCTAACGGGTATCTTTAGTCATGCACTGACTTTGACTAACTTCTCAATTGTGTGTATTTCTGCTTTGACTGGGTTTTTTAATCAATTTTAGCCATGTGGGGTCTTTTTTCTTTTAGGTAACTATAATCTTTTTTCTTGGCTAACTTATTTCTGTCGTATGATTTGTCATGTTTGGTCTGCGTTACCCTTTCACTTACATTTACTTGTTGTTGTTGAAATACTTGTTCTATTTGTGTCCATTTCGGGCCTAGCCTGGTTGTGCTTTCCTTCTCCTTTCTTTCCTCCGCACGCAGTCCTTAGACAAAAACAGAAGTCTTGGTCTGTGCAGGTCTACACCATCACCAGTTGTCAACATGATCTGCTCTGTTCAGACGTTGCAGCAGAGATGACAGCAGGCAATTCTTTCACTTTCATTTCAGTTTTCTGGAGCATTACCTCAAAATAACGGAAATGAAAGTGCAGTCTGTGCAAATATGAACCTGTCAACAACAGGCAAGACAGACGCCGCGGTAACTGAGCATTTACAACTCTACTAGCTTCCGCCCCGGTGTAAGTGAGACAACTACAACACTTACAGAGAGATTGTGAAGGATGAGCTTCACATTAGGTTGATAAGGGACACAAATTTAATTTGGGGGGTTTTTGGACCTTACCATTTACTCCTGTGCTGTGACTTTTTGTTTATTTTACTTCAAGAGCCCAAATTCACAAAACACATTTGTCTCAATGGACTTTACAGTCCATTGAGAAATGAAACTGTAATCATTCAGTGAGTCTGAAGAGCTGTTCTTGAGTCTCTCTCTGACTGGATTTCTTTATGGTTTCACAACTTATCTCTCTCAAATGTACAATAATATCATGAGTTTTTTAAGAATGAGGACAGTGAAACATAAACAGTCAGACAAAAGAAGGAAGTAGAAATGAACCTGTTTGAGGTTTTGGAGACTGCGGACGTCCGCTCGTCTAAAACCCCTCCACCAAGTACTGATACTCACTGGAGTATTGGAGGTAGCAGTGAAAACTAGTAACTCCTCTGTGCTGGACTGTGATGTGGAAGAGTGAACGGTGTACAGAGCTGCACAGACTCTGGTTCTCCCTCCATCACTGATACCCGTGCTCCAGACTCATGTCCTTGTGACAAACCACAGAAATGCTTTTTTCAGTAATAATTCATGTTCTTGACAGAGCATTTGTTTTTTCATCTTTGTGGTTTAAGTTCCTCTGGGTTTTCTCTCTGGTATCCAGACATAAAGCTGTCAGTTCTGTTCACTGTAGATTAAGTCAGACATTTCCTGGATTATGATCAGTTGAGTCTGAAGTTGCAGTAGTTTAAACTGTAGTTGATGGTATGTCACTCTCTTTCTTCACCTTCATGTGATTTTTGACAGTAACGTGTCTGGAGTCAGGCCTGTCTGTGGTGTTGGAGCTTCTCTCAGTTGGTTTTAGGTTCAATAATCCAACAACAAAACCCGAGGACCAACTGCTTTTTCCTGTGATGCTCAATAATATAACAAAAGTTCATAAATTCATACTGTGTAGTCCACTGAATTAGAGGACAACTTGTCTTTCTGGGTGTCCAAAAGCATAGTGTGAAGAATTTGCTTCTAAAGAAAAAATATTAAAAGAAAATTTTAAAAAATCAATGTTTGATTAGTTGACTTAAAGATTGTCCATAAATAAAGATAAATCAAACATGTAGAAATGAACCAACAAACCAGCTTACAGCTTGGATAGCTGAAAGTTGTCCAGGAAAATGTCTGTGCCTGTGAAAAGCTGATCAACATCAACTGTTAATTAGACACAACATCAAATAAAGATTAATTTGGACAAAACCTGCTAAATGTTAACCAGGAAGAACCTAACATTGTGGTACAATAAGTCAAACTTTTAATATTAGTTCAGCTTAAAAAAGTCTGTATTTCTCTGACTTTTAACCAACTAACTAACTAACTAACTAACTAACTAACTAACCATACTGAGTGAGATTTTCTTCATTTGTTCTCTGTATTTTTTCTCTCAGCTGAACTGAAATTCTCTCCGCATGTTGTTCCAGTAATCTTTACTGTGACCTCTGACATTTTTTTTTTTTTTTTTTTTTTTTGCAGCGTACTTCCTGTGCCATTTTCCTTCTTGTGGCCTAAAGATCACATCTAACCGTCTGCCTCATTACTGTGACCTTTGACTCCATTCAGCTACCAGTTGATCCCAGTTGGACTCACAGGTACAACCCACACTACTGCAGGAAAGGTTAGGGTAATTTAAGGCAGCTTTGTCTACATTACCCCAGAAGAACGAATGCAGAAGCAAAGTAAAGCCAGTGATGCCTTCACTGACCACTGAAACTGGTGGATTGTACTACTGCACCCCCTTTAACTAAACAAACCAGGGGTCACAATCTGAGCTCCCTGGGTGCTGCTGAAGGGTACTGCTCCCCAGTAATGAGTAAAGATGATTATTCATTATTATTGTTGTAGTCCCATGGTGCAGTGGTTCAAACTCCAGAGGCACCACATGCTTGGCACATACAGGAGGCGGACCCTTGAACCAGATCTGCTGACAACACAAGAATTTCCCCAGTATGGGACCAATAAAGTTCAAATAATAATAATAACAATAATTATTATTATTAAAAAGCATACATATAGAACAAACATCACCCTCAGCTGAACCAATTTACTCGACTCAAAGACAGTGAAACATTATTTTTTCTGCTGTAAAAGGCAAACTCCTGCCCCTGATCAAAACAAACTGGGAAGTAAAGTCAGGTCTGTCACTAAGTTACTGAATAAAAACAATAAATCCCAAAACATATTTCTACTTTGTACACAGACATTTTGCTGTGTACAAAGTACTATATGTCTAAGAGTGATTTGTATTCTTATACAACAGGAATGAACAAATAATGACACAAAATTAAAGGAAGTTTGAGATTCGATCAAAATAAAACTAGTGAACGTATAACATAGTCAGATGGATGTCTCCCTCTAGCGGTCATGTGCCACATGCACAACATTATCTCTTCTTTTTATATATTTGACAATATGATAAAATGAGACTGTTTTACAGTCCTCTTCACAGAACCCACCTTTAACCTGTCAGAAGGTTAACAACTATCACAGGTGTCATTCCTACCACAACTCTCATCTCATCACACTCATCATGTTTCTTTCTATGTTTTTTTCCCCCCTCAGGTTAACGTTTCTGCAGTGCTGCTCGTGTGGTCTTCTGTGACGCTGTGAAAAATTGATGAGAGATGTACAAAAATATATACAGATGTATATTTAATGTATTATCACGTATATCATTAATTCATGGTGCCTGGCTAACAGATCCTGTGGCCCTCTGATGTGAACGCTGTAGGACATCTGAGCCTCACTGACCAGAAGCAACGGAGAGTTTTATAAACTCTTTGTAAACCATAGTTGATGGTTTCAGGGACCCTGGATGTCCACAGTCTCCTTCTGTCAGCTGCTCTCTCCACTAGTCATCAGCCTCCAGGACAAGGTTCCTTGGAGTCCTGCAAATGAAAATTGGTAACAAAATGATACCAATTGTTCAAACATAGAAAAAATACTGAGAAGAAAATTAAACAATCCTGGAAAGACTTACTATAAGTTGTCCAGGAAAAACATTCCTTTCAGGTCATACAGTTTCCTCTTCCATGCTGAGCAACCTTCAAAGTAGAGAGCTAACATTGGTCTTGATCTTGGTCTCTTCAATCAGGTCATGTGGGAGAGTATGCTCCGACCCCTGACCTCCACTAACACAGGAGGACCAATTGGCCTTCATTTCCCCCCCCACTTTAGTTTCTGTTGCTTCGCCCGGGTCAATAAAAAGGGCAGCATAAAAAAGTTGAGAGTAGAAAATATTGAGCTGTTTCTTTCTGGAGAATTTTAAAAAGCTACAGTCCTTCAGTGGGCTTAGGCTATACAGAGATGAAAGAAAAGTCGAAAGGCCTTTGAACAGAGTGAGGGTGTGTCAGAGGAGAGTGTGGAGATTATTGGACATGAAGGAACTTTTCAATGTGACTCCTCGTTTTGTCAAACTTCTCCAAGACGTTCGTGTGTGTGTGTGTGTGTGCGTGCACGTGTGTACAGGCTTGGCTGCTTTAAGCCGCTGAAGAAGATTCATGTGGTGCAGTAGGAGCTTTGATGTGCTGGTGCTGGTGCAGTACCTGAAGCTACCTCTAGGCTGTCAGCTCAGTGCAGGGCGCTGGCTTTTATCTCGTCGGTTCTTATTGTATTTCGACTCCACCTCTTTACAGTTGCAAAAGAAAATGGAGAGTGTGGAGAGTGCTGCATCACTGCGACACCACGAGCGTCCTGCTTTGCTTAGGGCTCCTCCTGCTGGTGGAGATGGGTCCCTGCAGTCTCGTCTCTCATTCCCTTGCTGTAGTCTCTATTGCAAATAAATAAAAAGGTGTGTGTGTATGTGTGTGGGCGGTTGGGAGTCGATGAGGTCAGCAAAACCGCAGGACCTTACGGCATCATCTTTCTATGTGGCCACACACACACACAGACACAGACACAGACACAGTTTGTGGCACTGCAGCAGCAGTAGCAGCTCCTTTAATAGAAGAACAAAGTAAGTCAGTGATGCTCTCCTCCAGGGAGCTGCCTCCAGTGTAAAACTGAACTCCAGGGCAGTAGTCAGCACTTACAAGGTCGCGCACCCAAGCGACGGCCCCAGTGGACCATCAAAATTATGAATATGGAAACAGTCAATAAAAGTATACATATGTATAATCGTTAATCTGTGTAATAACAAAGTACACCACAACACTGCTTTGACACAAAAGCAAATAAACAAAAAAACAATTTTTAGGTTAGACCTAGGTTAGCAAAATATAAAGAAAATCCATTATTTTACCTTTCAAAATGTTCAAAAGTCAAAACGAACATGTTTTATATCCAGGACCATGGACTGTTGCTGGTTTAGGAGTGTGTTTTGCAGGATTTGCTGGATACCGGCTGTCAAAATAAAAGACGTTGTTATATACAGTGGTGATTATTATTAAATTGAGTGAGTACAATGCACAACAAACTCTTAAATACTTGCTTATTGTTTAAAATGCCAGCGTAATATAAGTTGTATTATTTGGTTTAAATTTTCCCAATATTTGTTTTTTAAAAGCGATTCGATTGTCATCGAATCCAACTCGAAGAGAACGAGCCAATCGGAGAGGAGAAGAGTTGGCAGCAGTTGTGCGCTGCTTTATAAATAAACTGGAGCAACTCGAGCATGGGCGTCGACGATTCGGAGACGGCAGCGAGCCGAGTCCTCCAGGCTCCTCCGGAGTTTGTTCCAGAACGAGATTGTTGAATTGATTATTATAAGATCAGAATCATAATAATCACGGTCTGAAATTTAGCAAAATTACTTTCATTATTCCTGTGAAGTACTTGTTCTACAGTTTAACATGGTAAATGCCTAATTATGTCATTTGAATCTGAATTTGAACATTTGCAGCAGTTTCTCTCTGTCTCCTCCAACCCTAACATTACAAATGGCCTGTCTTCGGCTGCTCACCACAACATGGGCTCCTCTCTTTCCCAGAGACTGTGCTGCAGCCAGACCAATTCTGACGGTTTGGACAAGAGTGACTCACTCATACTGGACCTTTATGTTAAATTAAAATCATTATAAAGGAAAAAAAACAAAACAACTTTTACCCTTCTGTGGAGGCAGTGACTATGGCTACCTTTCCAGAAAGGTTACTCTGAGACACAGTGTTTTTCTGAAGGCACCTGAAAACACTCCTCAACATCACCTGTGAACACACAAGATTCACAACAGCCATTACATATTAAATAATAATTTCTCCTGGACACACAAAGACATTATCTTTGATCCAGATAAAGTATTAACAACAAAGCTATGTTTACACTACATATTCCCATTTCCCAACACGAACAGAGCTGTATGTAAAAGACAGTGGCGGGTTTGAGAAGTATTTTCTGTAATGCCCCTTATTTTATTTAAATTTAAATATTTTATATCAAAATAAAAGTTAATAAAACACAGACTGAGATGTGCTTAGTTTTTAGCTTAATATAAAAACACTTGTATTGTGCTCATGTGATTTCTTACATATTTGTTATATTAAAACACAATTTTAGCTGGTTTTATATTTATTTATTTATTATTTACATTTTTTATATTGTGGGTTTGCAATTTACGACACGATATAATCGTCTCTGAACACAACACAGATAGAACGAGCCAATCAGAGATTAAATGAACCCTCTGTCGTCACCTCATTGTGCTACTTTGCAACTAAACCGGATGGATCTCGGTCATGTGCAGCCAGAGTCTGCTTCTTTTGTAAATCAGTCTAAAACGTCAAGATCCTAAAGTAGGCGGAGACCATTTTGTTGTCATCATCGAACATGATTGAATGTCGATGACCGCAGACTTTCTGCTTGAATAGAAGTGAATTTCATGGTGAAATTAAACGCATACTGATAACGGCGTTTTCCACGATAAGGCCAGAAAAACAGGTAAATGGTGTGTATCTTCCATGGCTTATGTGCTTTAACCAACAAGAAGCGTTCTGTAGCAGTAGCCGGCGATGCCATTGTTGTTGTTAATGTTAGCATTAGCAGCAGTAACTGCAATAATATCCAGCGTTAGCTCCAAGGCTAGGCTGCATCAAATTTGTTACACATTAATGTATTCAGTTTTCATGTGAATTCGATACTTTAATATTGAATCTTGCGAAATTCTACCGGCATTTTGTAGCATATATGCTAAGGTTAGCCGTCGCTGAATTTAAAGTAACGTAACTGGGCGTGGAAATGGAAGACAGGTGTTACTTAGTTTCGGCTCATTTCTGTCCCTCGGTTTTCTCTATTACTCTGATTGTTGCGAAATTAACGGATTTAACCACGGATTGTAGGAACGTCATGCAGGTGTACAAGGAGGCCGCCGAAAGATGAGTCGTCCCCAGACTCGGCTGTTGTGCCTCGGCAGCACCGGCTGAAAAGGACTATGGATCTCCATGGATGAGCCTGACTGACCAAGACTTTTTGTTTTTCTCTAAGACCTGACTAAGAATTTCTTCACATAATGTCTGTCTCCGTGAGTACATAACTGTTTTTAATTATCTGATGAGTTCGCACATGTGTAGCATTGATACAAACGGAAAACTGTGATAACAAGTCTGTTTCATTATTGTACGGACTTTACCGAATCTGGATCCACGCCTGTTCCTTCAAGTCTTTGTTGTCATTCTTTAGTACATTTGTGGTGCTTCTCTATCCATTTACCCTTTCAAAATTTAAATGGTGAAATCTGAAATCCTCTTTTGCATTTTTGTAGAATTACTGTGTAGGGTACTGTTTGGCCACATCCGGTTCTTTTATTTCACAAAAAATGCGATGCTGCAGTGAAAATCCTTTTCTTAATTTTGATAAAGTTGTGAGAAGAACTTTGTACAGGTTTTATTAAGTTCTTCTTTTCCCATCGCCATCAGTAGGAAAGTCCTATTAAAGCAAATACAGATAAAAAATAAAACAAAAATAAATTTGCAAATAAAAAGCAAATTGACTCGCAGAGTTGGATGTAAATGGATAATAAGAAGAGAAACATGATCGAAGAATCAAGGTGTGTTGTTGTAGTGAGTAATGTGTGTAGTGGTAATGCTACACCACTTGAGTGCCTGACATTTTATTATTCCGTGGACTGCTTTACTGTATCTCTCTGTTTTATCTGAATACTTATCGCCTCCATTACACTTTTATGGGAGTCCCACATGGCTCCATTGAGCCCCGTGGTCCCTGGGGGGGAGAGGTCTTTAGAAAATGAAAGGGGGTTTGGCTCCCTGTCATTGGACTGGCAATTAAACCCTAAACATTGAGGGACAGATGTGCCCCTTGCCTTCCCTTCCTCCCCCTCTGTCTCTCATCCCACTCATTACCATTAAGCCCCCTGTTGTCCATTTGATCATTGATCCTCCCTTACTGTGCCCCCTCTGCTTCCTGCTTCTCTCATGATGAGTGGTGCAGCTAGAAATTGAGATTTGTCCTTAATGACGGTACCTTTTACTTTGTCTCCTGTCATCACTCTGGCTCCGTCCAAACAAATCTGTTTTGGTTCCAGAATGCAGCAAAGCTACTTCAGATGCACCAGTGACAACGACCAGCCATAAAGAGGAGTTTAAATCCAGCACTGGGTCTGATAGGTTTGTAAAGATAGATTAGATAGATAGATACCGTACAAGAAAACAGTTCTCGACATCAGGTTGGATTTGTTCCAGTTTAGAGTTGAGAGTAATCAGTTCTTGCACATGGTGTCAAAAAGAACAGCCAATGAGATTCTTAAATGTGGTAGTCCACATTTTAGATACACGTTAGAATACACGTCATGTCTTAAACAGCCCTTGTCACAACCATGTCAAAGTAACTGGCTACTCAGTTTAAAGATATAACATAAATATAAACCTTCAGTCATCTCGGCCTTACAGGCTGTAGATGAACAGAAAATCTCTGAAGATGTTGAATACTCCGCTACTACAAGCAGTGCAGGTCAGAGGTCATGTCTGAGTCGAACATAAAGTGATTACTATCAATGCAGCCATTACACTGCCATTCATTCTCCTTTCAACAACTCCACACTGTTTATACTGTGACTAAACATCACTCTGTCAATGGACGTGTTTGTTTGTTCAGATGCTGCAAGAGCCTGTTGATTAAAGCCTCCTTTATAGAGCCTGTCAATCTGTGTGTGTGAGAGAGAGAGAGAGCAAATGACTCTGTTTGACGATTTTTGTTTCTGTATTTCTCAGACGGTTTTGGCTAAGGCGCTGTTTGACAACACAGCAGAGAGCCCCGAGGAGCTGGCTTTTCGGAAAGGTGACATCCTCATGGTTCTGAATCAGGAGCAGAGTGGTGGACCGGGCTGGTGGCTCTGCTCCTTGCATGGAAGGCAGGGCATTGCCCCTGCCAACCGCCTCCGTCTCCTTCAGACGGCTCCACCCCCCAACTCAGATCTACGGCGCGGCCCCAGCGAGGACTCAGTTTACCTGTCTCCCTGCCACCCTCTGACTCGGTCCACCGTCAGCAGCAGTGCGGAGGAAATTGATGGGGTGTACCGCTCGCCGCCTGGTGTGGGTGAGGGTAGGGGAGTAGTGGTGGCTGCTGCATTGAGACCAGGGGAGCTCCGCAGAGTTGAGGGGGGTCGTCCCCGCTCTCACTCCAGCTCAGGCATCAGGCCCAGGCCTGACTGGGACATTGGGGTGGCAGGGCGTCCACGCTCACCTTCCCTTAGGGGACGTGGCACAGAATCCACAGGAACACTTTATCAGACTCCAGTGAGTCCAGTACCATCAGCAGCGCAGCAGTGCCGACAAACTGCAGCCCTCATGGCTGCAGAGTCGGTCTACCTCTCCCCCAGTGCTGCTCAAAGGGCAGCAGATGAGCCAGAGGACACTACGTATCTGATCCCCAGGGAAACGCTGACAACAGGACCCTCAGAAGACTGTTATTTGGTACCGAAAGGTACACCGCTGGCAGGTGATGAAGTTTGCCAGTGTCCTTCAGGAACAGCAGCAGTTGGAACGACCAGTGCCCCCCCTGCTGTCAGTGGTACACCCCAGGCCAAAGTGAGTCAGGACACACCTGGAATGTATCAAACACCCACAGCCGTGGGGGCAAATCTCCACAGGACTCCAGCCGCTGTTTTGGCCCACCAGCATCCAGTTCCATCGTCCCCCTCTCATGCATCTCCCAGACTTAACCCTGCAGTTTCCAGGGGCAAACCTGGCCTGGCCACTCACCGCGGATCACCTTTGTTAGTCAGGGCAGGCCAGGTCAGGGTTCCCGGATCACCAAATTTTGCTCGCAAACCGCCACCACCAGCACCTCCTGTGAGGGGCGTCACCAGGAAAGATACACAACAAGCAGCGCTTTCATCTGTTGATGCTAATGCTGTCCCTAAACCAACAGCTCAGAACAACTCTACTGGCCTGATGCCGGAGGAGACGAGAGACAGACAAAAAGAGAGTTCTCAAAGTGAGGACGAGAAGACGGTCAACGGGCTGGACAGAAACAGCAGTGTGGACAAGAAGAAAGGAGAAGGTCAGGAGAAGTTACACTCTGTCAATGAGCAGGTATGTACTCTCCACACCCTCCCAGGTTAGGATGTTGTTTGCATTCAAAATTCTCTGCACCAGTAACTGGTTCATGTCTCTGTGGGCAACGTAGGTGTACGACACTCCTCCCACTGGTAGGTGGCAGCGTCCTGTCTTATCTTCTATTGGTGACGATGATGGCATTTACGACACCCCACGCAGCGTCCCACCACAAGACTCTGACACTGAGGTAGAATTAACATTTTATTGAAACTGAAAATGAAAAATGTCAGTCATCATTTAATTTGTCATTCATTACAAAAATCTGTCCTTAGTCTCAGCCAGGGTAACAGTCCAGTCTTCCACCATGGTCAGTAAAGGGTGAATTAATGTATAAACTTTAATCAAATGACATCACAGCATTAAAATGTCCCACCTTCGTCTCCAATACGACAGTTTTCCATCTGGTTTTTTTTCCACTCATTTTCCCAGAAACTCACTGGAATCTGTGACAAACTGGTGTGTTGACATCGTGTCTGTGCATGTGAAGAGATTTCCCCAACAGCAGATGAGCCAGTATCAAGTACCCTGTCAGAACCTCTCACATTCCCACTGCTGTACAGTACTGCAGTATCTCCCCCCCCACCCCCGATAGGCGAGGCCACACCTGTCTCTGTCTGCGGTGAAGCCTGTCTATCCAGTCCACATGCTGCTTCTATTTTCTCCCCAGTCACACCCATCTGTCAATGCCATGCTGAGGCCCAAACCCCACCACTGCCCCTCCCCCTCCTCCTTCCAGTGGTCTCCACTTTAATGTTACTTGAACAGCCTGCCTGTGGCTTGATGACGACTTCCTCCCCATCTGCAATTACTGTATGTTGCAGATGTTTCCTCTTTGATGTGATGTCCTCCAAATGTTGCTGTTCTGTTGGTGGTCAGTCTCTCAGTTTCTGGTTAGTTTTTGGCGTCACCACTTCATCTCTGCAAACTGGGTTTTCCCTAAGTAATTTGCATCAATGCCCATTGGCATTAGTTTCACATAGCATAAAAAAACACCAACATAAAATTCAACATGAACGTAAGAGCCGCATCAAACCGGGCAAAGAGCCACATGTGGCTCCCGAGCCACAGGTTGGCCATGCCTATACCATGGCATCAGTATCAAACAGTTGTGAAGTTTATCAAAGATAAATTATCAAAGCAACAAAAAGGCTGCACTGACAAAATGACCACTAGGTATAAGTCAGATTACAAATGTATGACAACAAACATGTGCTAATGAAGTAATGAAAAGTAAATATGTGGAAATGTTCGAGTCAGAGACCTTAAAAAAAATTCTGTCTCCACCCTACAGGTCTACGATGTGCCCACCATTACTCTAAACGCCACAACAGATGTTCACCCTGATGAAGTCGACGAGGTCTACAGTGTTCCCACACTTCCGGGTGTTCCTCTGGGACCAGGAGAGTCCATGTCCAGCTTGTCCACTGAGGAGGGTGCAGGACATGTTGGACAGGTCTATGGTGGCCCTGGATCTGAAAAACGAGCCAGCAGCGGCTCCTCGGAGCCTGACTGTGGCATTTACGACATGCCTGCCTTGACTATTGAAGTCCAGCCTCACTCCTGCTCCTCCTCCTCATCTTCCACCTCTGCTCGGCGTCTGTCCTGTTCTAGTAATGGTTCTGGTGACGTGACGTGGCGAGCTTCCCTCTCCAGCCTGGTCCAGTCGGTGCTGAGTGCGGCCTCAACCTCGGCCTCCACCCTGTCGTCACGAGACCTGGCCACATCACTGGCAGAAATCCTCTCCACCTGGAAGGCCAGTCACCTCGGTGACCCCCCACCTCCTCTGCAGCAGGCGTGGGCACGTCTCTCAGACCTGCTGCCAGCTTTATCAGCAATAGGCCCTGCACCTCCTTCTGAAGGTCTCCTGACACTGGTTCAGCGCTCCCTTGAGGAAAGCGCACTCCTTTTACAGGCTCAGGGCCGGCCCCGTTTACCTTCCCAGGAATCCCTGTCCCGTAGACCGTTGCCTGCGCTCCCGGTGCCTGATGGAAAGTCACCTGGAGGTGGGATGGGTTCTCGAAAAGGGAGCTGGATCCAGGAGAGGCCTCTGCCGCCGACTCCACAGCCTGCTTTCCCTCTGCCTCCTGCTCCTTCAACAGTGACCATGACAGTGGGACCTGTTGACGGAGAGGACGATCCCAGCAATGAGTACGCTGGTATCGGACTGACCCCCATCCACCCACCAGTACCTTCTGGAGACAGTGTGGGATATGTCAAACTCCAGGTAGGTCTCACAGTGACCTGACCGTCCTTTATGTACAGGAGTTGTTACCGTTTGTCTTTAAACCTGTGTGGAAACTCTGGAAACTCTTCTGTTATTTTCCAAACCAGGGAAAACCTGATCTAACTGCTGATTTTGTGGCAGAGAATGGACAACTACAAGCCATCACTGCAGAACCAAGGGTGAGTCCCGACCTTTACATCACGGCTGAACAGGCAGTGAGAAGAAGAAACACTAGACCTATTACCTAGCCCTGACTCTCAGGTAGAATTCTTCCAGCTGGATCAGTGTTCAAAGCTGGTGGGTCCACACATAACTGTCAGTGCTGGTCTACAGCCGGAGCTGCTGCAGATGTTGATGTCACTCACTCTGCTCTGTCCATCTGTGACTCTGTGTCTGACTGCAGACACAGGTCCATCTTTGTTATATGTAAGTGTGTAGTTTCTCTTGCGCCAGCGCTTCTCACGCCCCTGAAGAAGCAAACAAAAGTTCACTTGTTAAAATTTAACACTGTTTCTTTACACGTGAGATAATGGCTTTAAGACGACAGGGTGAAAGACAAGCAGCCATTCATAAGACAAGTCTAGCTGAACATCAGCAGGAGACTTGTCTACTAGTCCACTCACATGTATCAGCATTACAATATAGTATGGTATTCTATAGTACAGTATAGTATGATATACAAAAGTACAGTACAGTACTATGTTGACTGTGTCTTTGACTTCTGTCAGTGTTTAAACACCATGCAGGTGAAAGTCTACTGTTGTCACCGACACCTGTGCTGCTGCACTCATGACATCATGACAGATGGAGGTCATGAAGGTCATGTCAGCTTCTGAGTTCATTCTTCTCTTCACATTCAGATGACACCCTCCCCCCCTCTGCCGGTGTCCCTTTCCCTGGAGGACTCGGAGCTGCTCTCCTTCTACTCCTCTCAGAGCCTGGCCCACCTCTCCTGCCTGGCTGACGCCATTGACGTGCTGTTCAGCAGCGTGCAGGGCAACCAGCCTCCACGCATCTTTGTGGCCAGAGGAAAGAGTCTCATTGTGACGGCACACAAGCTGGTGTTCATCAGTGACACCCTCTCCCGCCTCCTTACCTCCACCGACCTCCGGACCAAGGTGTGCAGAAGGGCTCTGATGTGAGGCCTTAGTGAAAACATGCGTTTGTCCAATGTGTCTAATACATTTTTTTGTCTGTTTCTCCCTAGATCACGGCCTCAGGGGGGCGACTCTGCCAGGCTTTGAAGGCAGTCGTGGTGGCAACCAAGGGTGCTGCCCAGAACTACCCCTCCGTGTCAGCCACCCAGGAGATGGTGGACCATGTGGCTGAACTTTCCCAGCAGGCCGCCGGCTTCTCCACTCTGCTCCAACGTCTGGCAGAAATCTCCTCATGATATATGATGTCATTTTTACAGAAAAGCGTTCAAACACTCCACCTTAGTCCACTCAGAAATGCCTTATTTATGGCTAGTGTCTTTGATTAGCAGTGATTGAATGGTTATTGATCTTCTCCGCAGCTGTGAGTCAGCTGGGTCTGGACTCTGATGGTTCTTCTATGGTTGGAGTGTGTGCTGTTTTTAGGTCTGTCTTTATGAACCCACCCCTGAGCTTTGACTCTGAGCACACGTGTCTTTCTCAGTATTAACTTATTGAATTTTCACAGCCCCCCTGCTGTGGCTTTGATGCTCCTTGTGAGCTGCTGATTTTTGGAGCTTTCCTCTGTATGTTGGCTGTCTCTCATGAAGGCAATGTTTCCTTCCTTCCTCTATTTATTCAGCTGTCCCTGTGCCCCAGATATAGCACAGAAGACATCCTGACTCCGGCTTACTTTAAAACTGTTACATTCTTTCTGTCATATTCATTCTGAAGCTGTAGAGGCAGCATTGCATCTTTAGGGGACTTTTTAAAGAGGAAATGAAAGCATGTGGTGTTTTTGTATGGAATCATTTTTGAGAACTTGCCAACTTGCCATATCACTGAAGAAACATTTTCTCATGTGTTCTTCCTGACAGAGACAGGAGCTGAGTCCTTTTATTTCCAGTGACTTAACAAGAATAATGGCAGTTTAGTGGCAAGTTGCTTAATATTGTTTTCCCACGGTAGTGTCATAATCTGGCAGTGTTTGTGAGAAACCTGTGTACCAAGGTTGCCAGTCCCTACATGTTCTGTTCTGTTCAGCACAGCTTTGTTTGACTTTTTCTCTCCTTGTTATTGTCATGTAGCCACAGTTTGTCTGCTCTTTAGCAGCATGGCTAGAGCTCGCTCACGGAAGACTACTCCAGGAACTGTCTGCTTTTACAGTGAGGTCTAGTCACGTCCAGGAATAATGTTTGTAATAATTCTCCAGAACCTTTTTACTCTATGCTCAGTTTGAACAGCAGTAGGTTGTTCTGATTGTTTCTGCATGAATGAATGCAGCACTACTTCTGACATGTGATTGGCTGATGCGATATTTCAGTCAGCGGACAATTGAATAGGTGTACCTATGCAGTGGCCGGTCAGTGTGCACACTGTTTCCACAGTGAAGGGGAGTTCACTGTACTGGAAACTATTTTTTGTTTACCAAGATGACACATTGACACGTACCTAACAGAAGCTGTTTTGCATGTCCAAGATCTGGAGTGAAGCACAATCAACTTTGGCATCAGTGTTACTGTTTATTTGATCAGAAGTCCTTTGTAGTTCTGTTTTTGACTGTTTCTGTCTGACTGCCATTATTTACTGCAGTCATCAGGTACAGTGTTTTTATGGAACGTTAAACAGACTGGAAGTGTGTTTTTTATACCTTAACACCACAGACCTTATATATTATTCACCCTTGGGCATAGTTTTCAATTACTTTTCAATTAATATTCTGCATTTTTATAATCCAGCATAGTCTGAGTAACTATATTGGTAATCTAAGGTATTGCATTACTCTTTTTTCACTTGTGTGGTTCATTTTTAACCAAACGTTTGCAGTACAGTTTGTTCTTGCCGTTTTCTGTTTTGCAGTGCCACCTGGTGGAGGTTATAACCAATGCGCCTTCCTGCCATAACACTAAACTGTACGAATGAAGAAAGTAACCTTTAGCTATAAATATTTATTATCTTAACTTTTTGCGTGATTGTTTTTTCCCCAGTTTGCATGGCTTTAAATCGCTTGAGTTTTATATAAATGTGCACATACATCACCAGGGTGATTTTTGGTGATGTACAATTTGATTTTCATCTATTTTGGGGAAGGGGGGTTGACAATTTCAATATATATGCCTGTATTTTTTTGTACAAATATGTTGGGTTTCTTTTTTTTTTTTTTACAGTTTTTTTAAAAACATGTTACTTTCATTGATATTTGCAGAAGATTCAAAAATGACTTCTGCAGTTAAACAGACAACCTCTTTTACACTACATTGGATGTCTCTGTGTTCCTATTCAGAATGCACAAATACAACTTTTGCTATTAAAAACAATGTTTTGTATTTTTATGTTGCGGTATTTGTTGTGTAAATGTATTTAAATATCCACATAAGACTGACACCTCTATGGATGTTAAAAATAATTGTAAACCAAAAAAAATATTTTTTCACAACACAATTTACTTGAAAAAAAACTATTTTAGCCTTATTGTTTTAGATAATGTATTTATGTACAATATTGAGGTGTATTAACCCAACCTTAAAACGAGGATAAAATATTAAATATTCGAGAATTGTTTTATTGATAGAAATAAGAATAAGAAGACAGAATAAGAATAATACAGACAGAATCATCGTTTTTATGTTACATGCCACCTTGTTTGAAAACCATTACATTAACCAATAGTGAACAAAAACTATACACTTTGTTCAACAGTGTTGGATTTAGTGACATCTAGTGGTAATACGTTATCTACTGTACCATGTTCGAATGTCCGGATATCACTATTAATGTTCCAAAACATAGAATGACTTTTATTCATTTCAATACGTTGGTCTCCAATGAAATGTTTATGCTTGATATATGTAAACTAGCCGTTGATTTTAAAAAGTGTTAATTACATTTTATTAAGATCAAATAGTAAAAGAATAGCCTTCGAAATAGTTTGAAAAACGTTTGGCAAACAAGTAGACCTGTGTCCTTGCACTCGGGCTAGTCGAACGTTTCCGGAAACTGTCGAGCGATGACGCCGAGCGTCCGCCGTAGCGACGCTTGTAGGAGTTTGTAGACGAGCGGAGGGAGCAAAATGGCGGACGAGGATATTACGCTTGATGGAAAACCTCTCCAGTCGCTCAGAGTTGCGGATTTGAAGGCCGCTCTGGAGCAAAGAAACCTGCCGAAAAGCGGTCAGAAAAACACGCTTGTCAAGCGTCTGAAAGGGGTGAGTTTTCCTCTGTTTTTGTCGTGCCCGGAACGAGTCTGTCTAAGTTCAGTCGGAGAGAGAAGGGGGGGCTAACGTTATTGAGGCCGTAACAGTGTGTATGTGTGTGCATGTATGTGTATGTTCTCGGAAGCGGGAATACATTATCCGCCCTGCACGCCAATATAACACACTAACAACACTTTCTGTACTAAGTTGTTCACATATTGACAGCACCAATAGTCAGTCAAACCAAGTTCTTACTTAACAAGAGGAAACACGCCGCACATCGTGTTGCTCACAGTTAGTGTGCACCTGTCAAGTCGAGGCCTAAGCTTCAGTGTGAAGCGAGCGGCTACACACTGTGTACAGTAACGTGACCGCGCGGCTAGGGCGCGCGTACGTTTGTGTACAGCGTCACGAGTGCGCGCATCGTCGTGTAAACACTCGCTAAGTTGTTGGTCTTTTATTTAACTTGACCACAACACTGTTTAATTTGTACTAGACTTTTCAGCAGGTCAACAGCTACAACAGGGCCGTAGCAAGAATTTAAAGACAGTGGTCATGTTGATGGAGGTATTTATTACCCCCCACAAAAATGAAAGACTCCCCACAACATTTTCAAACATACTGGCTTAGTTTAGAAAAGCTTAGTTATTAATTTAATATTTAATACTTTAACAAAAATTACAACCTTAAAATTCTCACTGCCTATCAATCCCAATACTTTAGGACTGCTGTAGATGTATTACATAAAAAAAACAATGAAAGCAACTGTATCTCCATGTAAGATCTTAAAGATGTCTGCATCTGCATCTTATTACTGATTTAAACAACAAGGTCTGATTCTAACATGATCTTACACAATATTTTAAATTAAACAAACGTATATACTTGTAAATATGTTTAACTAACTACTACTAAAACATGTCATTATAAAGATAGACAAAATAGTTGGGAGGAATGGGAGTAGCTTGCGGCAATGGTGAAGCACTTTAGAGGGTTTTGTAATCACAATAAAGGTCATGCAAAAAAGTACTATTAGATACATTTGTTTAGGTTAATTTATCTAAAGCATACAGAGGGTTTTTTGTCAAAACAAAAGATGGGATAATTGTGGAGATTTGTTGGGAATAAAAAAGAAACAAAACGTATATACATATATACAGTATATATACAGTAAATATATATATATATAAACGTAAAGGAGGAGCTGCTGAATTTGGTTGTACAAAATCAGTGTTGGAGTTCAAACCAAAGCCATTAAAGGATCTCTTTAATGCCATTAGAAGATGTCTTCTTTGCCAGACCAATGTCACATAAAAGTCATACCTTTCTAGAATCCTGGTAACAAAGCTCAGAGAATAGTGTTATATATCGCCATTAAAATTAAGTTAAATGGGAACCAGTGGTCAAAGCTGAAAAACAATGGATGGATATCCACGACGAAATGTTGGCGTAAAGCCAACCATAAACTAATAATGACTGCAAGACACTTCAAGTTCAGCTTACATAAAAAGACAGAATAACTTTTAAAACTATTCCCTTCTTGCATCTTTGACAGGCCCTGATGCTAGAAAACCTACAGAAGACATCCTCCTCCCACATGCACAGTGGGCTGCAGCCCAACTCTCAGGTAGAATAAAGCTTTTCTTTTGGCACAATTAACTACATGAATTCTACAGTTTTACTGACATATGTTTCCTTGTCAGATAGGGGAGGAGATGTGCCAGAACAGCTTCATTAAACAGTACTTGGCCAAACAGCAGGAACTACTTCGCCAGAGACTCGAGAGAGAGGCTACACAAAACGATGAGGCAGATGGTAAAAATGATAAAATCACATTATCACACGATCAATGACTTAAAAATGTGACTGACATCTTTCAAAGCTATAGTATTAGTACCAAACTAAAAAAAAGAGTCTGGTTTTTATGGTCCACTGGGTTTTTCTCACTTATAGAAAGCCCATCAGTTCCAGAGGAAGACGAGGAGCACTCAGAAGACAATGACAGTCCTTCCTGTGTCACTGAAAAGGTTAGATTTTCTCAGTGGTTTGTATTCCAGAAAGGTACAAACCATTAAACCAAATGTCATTGTCTTTGCTCCACAGAATTGCCCAATACCCTCTCACTCCACACTGACTAGGCCAGGAAGAGCAGTAAGTGCTGCGGTGGTGGGTCATGGGTTTATGTCCATTCAAAGCCAGGAGTCTCCTGAGGCTCTACAAACTAGGGTGCAGCGAGCTGTTGGACATCAAGAGCCAGTGCCCTCTCCTCCCCGTGCTGTAGCATCTCTGTCAGTGCGCATTTTGGGTGAGGCTGATCGGCAGGGGTTGCCCCCTGCTGTGCCTAGGGTCTATGAGAAGGAGGGCACTGCACCGAGTCAACCAGGATCTGCTCAGTCTGTTCTTCACTTGAGCAGATCTGCTGGGGTCACAGCAGGAAGTGTCGTCCTCAAGGATAGTAGTGATGATGATGATGACGATGATGATGGAGATGATGAGTGTGAAGATGATGAGGATTGGGGGTCGCAGCCTGGCAAGGGTAAAACTGTTCCTCCAAAGCCACAGCAAATGCCCTCAACCATGCTTTCGTCAGGAGGGAGGTCCAAACGCAAACTTCAAGTTCCACAGCACATCCCACCACCACAGGCACAACACAGCCCCATGCAGTTGCGCCACCCCACTCCTCCTCCTTCACCTCCTTCTAACCTCTTTCCACTTCCTGATACTCCAAAGCAGAGTCCACCAGAACCAGATGACCAGGACAGAGATGTTGCAGAACCTGCACTCGACCGGAGGGCAGCATCTTTTCTGCCTCCTTCCGTACAGATGCAAGACTCAGACTCAAGCTCAGGGTCCAGCAGTCCCGATCCTCCTGCAAAGTCTAAACCTGGACCTCTTTCTCTGCTTGTGCATAAGATGGAGTCAGAAGGGGCTTTTCAAGCATCAATGGAAATGTCAGAAGATACATCTCACTCCACGGCCGGATCCTCCAGTGAATCTCCTTTGCAAAAACTGAAAAAAAAGAGGCAAGAAGAAAATATAGAGACTGAGGTAGAGACACAACTAAAGAAGGTGAAGGAGAGAGGTGGGCAGCAGGTGAGAGAGAGAGAAGAGCATTACAGTGAAGAAAAGAAGAAAGACAGAGAAAAAGAGCAACATCAATACAAGGAGAACATGGAGACTAAACTTAACACAGCAGAAAATGAAGGTCGAGGGAAAAAAACGCAGGATGAGGTGGAGATTAAAGAGGAGAGTGGACTGAAGGAAGAGAAGGACATGAGGCAGAAAACAGCAAACAGAGACAGGAAGGTTATGACAAAGCAACGAGAATCTGATTCATCAGATTCTGACTCCAAATCAGACTCAGCTTCACAGTCATCATCCTCCTCAAGTGATAAGACCCTCTCAGCTAGGCAGAACAAGGTTAGTGATCCACCCACACTACTGACAATAATAAGAGATCAGAAAAGGTGTTTGTGAACAGCATGTTATGGTTTACAAATGGAAAGATTAATTTGTAGATTTTAAGAACCCTCTCTTAATTTTTTCAATAACCTATAATTGTTCATGATTCATCAATTGTACAGCTGTTGGGACAAACACACAAACAGAAGGTGGAGGAGGAACATAAGACAACCCTGACTGAGGAGGTGAAGAAAAGACACTTGTCAACAAGGTAGGATTTTTTTCTGCAACTTTTTGAAATACGTGTGCAAAACAACATTTAATCATGAGTCGATATTTTTGACAATTAAACAATGTAAACGTTTGAATCACTAGTACCTGTCTTTTTACAATTGCAGTACATTGTTGAGACAATAAGGTTGTAGTTGTGAACACAAAACATATAATACAATACATTCAGGTTTGGAGGCTAGTAATTACCTAAATGCACTTATATAGACATTACTGTTGTAAAGTGGCCAGTTATTGATGGTCTAGGGCAGAGGTAGGGCAGTAGATCATGAGCAAATAAAATAAACATAAAAAATAAAGATTTTTTTAAATATTAAATATCTAGAACTAGATCAGCAACAATACAATTGTTGGTTCATATTGTACCATACAATGACAGCTATTTAATCAAAATATGACCTCTATATAAAGTATATTCAGCTCATGTGGCTAAATATATATTAAATATTATCAATGTAGATGGTCTGGTCAATTCAAAAGTAGCTTCCAAGCCAACAAAGAGTGAACACCCCTGGTCCAGGATAAGCTAATCATGCTAACCTTTCTTTATGTTCTTTTAAGGTAGGTTTCTAAGATTTTAAATGCAATTCAGCTCCATAAAGTTACATTACTAGCCTGATTGCATGTTTCCGGGCAGAGTCGATCTAGGGCAGTGGTGGCTTAGTGGTTAAGGAACCAGACTTGGATTCAGGAGGCTTCATGTTCGAGTCCACCAGCTGCTAAGTTACCACTGAGGTGTTCTGAGCATGGTACTGTCCCCACACACTGATGGGTTAAAAGCAGATGTTGATGCATTTTGTTGTGTGCAGTGGTGTGCTGTGTCACAATGACAAGTAGTTCACTTTCCTTCCCTTTCCTTTTGTAACAGTTCATCCCCAGAGTGTCTCAGTGACAGGAATTCTAATAAATAGTATTATTTCTACGGCTTAACACTGCACCAAGTGCTTCCTGTACATCATTATTGGTGACCAAGGAAACAATTTTATAAAATATAACTTTATTAAATAACTGGGTTTCTTTCATAAAAACCGTATCCCACTGAGATTGGAGATTCTTTGTGCATCTATTGAATAAATTGTTTGTTGTTTCATATAATTTAATGGCAGAGACCTTCACGGTCAGGATTGTTTTAAAAGAGATAATAGTAATACTATTTTCTATTCTTAATGTTTTTTAGCAATAAAACTAGCTCATGGTTGCTAACTTTAACCGGATGCTTTTTTTGTCAGGCGTTCTGTGTGGACAGACCCACAGCTATTGTGAGTAGTAATCCCGCTCATTTTCTACTTTTTGTCTCCTTTTTGTCCAATATCGTTGACATGACTCTGATTTTATAACAACACGGCAGTGTAGCTGGTTTCCCATTTCCGTCGAAAACTACACCTTTATGCAAGTTACGTAGCCTTTATTCTGAAAGTCCTCGTAGGACTTTTCTTTTTTTTTACACAGGCAGACTTGACGCAGGTCTCTGCTGCCAACATGGCTGCCGCGCATGCATTGCATCCCTGAAACCGACGCAGTGTGCGGCTAATCATTAAAGGACAGGAGCGGAATTCTGATTTATTTTTCGTTAGTTTTACCAGCAATCGCTGTCGATATTAATCCGAGCCTGATCGGTATAGGGGCCACGCCGTAGATTGTTATCTCGGTGGTTATTTTCGAGGCCGGTCATCATGCTGTCTGAAGGCAACAAAAACGGGTAAGAGTGAGCCAGAGGGCGATCCAAGGCTTTAGTTTTCCGGCTGCACTTTGACTCCCCGCATTAACAAACCAACAGTTCCACAACGTAGTCACTGTCCGCATGTCTTTGGGCCTCAAAGTATTTTTGATCGCCGGTTTGCCTTGAGTTCCTCGTCGGTTATGTATTATGTCATTAGATCACATTGGCCTGGTTGTGTGCGTGTTACATGTGTGAGGAGAACCGGGGGTGGGGACCTCAGTGTGAATCTTTTGTTGGTGGAGCTGGGAACGGATTGTAAAAATAATTATTTAGTATAAGTATCGTTTCGGGGAAGAATTACTGGCTTTAATTTATATATTGATCTATATTCTGCCATGTGAAAAAGTTTTATATTTTTTATATTATTGAGTGTCTGGGCAGGATTTTTAAAAAATCTGATCCAGATCCATTTGTTACAGATGAGTTTCAAGGAGTTTTCATCCAGACTTTGCTTAAGTCTCATTAGAACTGTACTCCTTGTCTGAACCCAGCAACTCAGGGTCTGTATTTTTTATCTTCACCTAATTGTTCACCAAACATGGTTACTGAATCCTCTTTCACTGTTTCAGGGCTGATATTCTACCCCCACCATGCCGCCCAGGATCATCTTTAAGATGCATTTCTTTTTCTTTTTGAATCTGAGACTAGTTCAATCCTTCATATTGTGTCAATTGTGAGCGATCAGCAGTTACATCAGTGCAGATAATTCATTATGCACATTGTGAATGAAAAATTCAGATCACTCCTAATTTCCCGCTAACATCATAAATGTGTCTTGTCAATCGTGTAATGTTCTTTTGTTCACGATGAAAATCCATGTCAATGTCAGTTTACAGTGGACTAAGAATTTCTACAACCAATCCTCAGTTATTAATTATTATTAATACTCCGTTTTTAACAGTACAGTGGAAATGGCTCGCTGTCTCTCCTGTGTAAAAAAAAAACTGTACTGTAGGTCAAAATGAGACATCCATACCAGAAGTGAATACACAAATGGATTGCAATTGCTTTAAAAAATTCAGGTCTTGGTACTTCACTCCCGATCTCTGAAGTTGTACCATGTAGCTCAAAGACACAGTATCCTTTTATAACAAACAGAGGTTTGTATTTTTGTCACAATTGTGTGTCTGATCTTACTGTTGTCAGGGGAGATCATTAAAGCAGACATCTGTTAGCTGTGTAGTCAGTGAGAATCGGCCCCCATGGTGTGATATAATTCTCCCAGCTGGCATCACTGCTCTGACACGTGTTCACTGGGATACGACCACATATGTGCGTTGATTGGTGATATGCTGTGCCCTGTTTTTATGATGATGACTCAAGCCATTGGAGCAATGGGAAATGAGTGTCAGGCTTTTGAGTTCCACTAAAGTTCTACTGATGTGACATTCAGTCAAACCCTTGTCTTGTATGTTCTTCATATGAAGAGAACATTGCTTGAGGATGTGCTCCACCTCCAGACTGCTGCAGTGGTGCTTTTTGTATCACATGTAGGCAGTAGAGGAGGGTTTAAACAGGGACAGCAGGGAAATTAAGAACTTAAATGTAGGTTTTGTAAAGATACCACTGAGCATGGCCCTCATCAAGGTTTGGAGATTTTCTTTACATGAGGACAACAACTGAGGAGTTGTCATTGTCTCAGCAGGATGGTCTATTCCAGGGGTGTTGGTGACCCTGGGTGTCATCTAACTAGTAAGATATTAATAGGAAAAGAGCATGACCCAGATCACTGGTTTGCATCAGCCTCTCTCTCTGCATCTCAGCCTCTACATCATTTTATCTCCTTACACAGTCCTGCTACTTTGGTAACAGTGCCACACTGGTGGTCTTTGTTGTAACTGTCTTGCTTGAGAGCTCATGAATGACAGTCATCTTTGTTGTTAACCTTCAGTTTGTTTACATTGTGTGTCAGATATTTCCTTGTATCTGTTATTGTAGAAAAGAAGATTTTACTGTTATTAAGAAATGACCAATAATAGAAATGAAGTTACAATAACCTCCCTCACTCCTCACCCTAAAAGTTTCTATTTTATGCAGGGAGGTGTCTGAGCCCAGTGCGGCTGCTGTGACAGAAGTGGAACCAGACTCAGAGAGTTCCATGGCCGATCAGCCGGCATCTGGAGCTGAACCGGAGAACAGCGAGAACCGCCTGGAGGAGGTAGGGAAACCGATAGGGTGGGGTGGCCCAGGGCTTTTGTTGTGTCTCTCACTAACCTGCATCCTTGCTCAAATTACAAGCATGTGAAGTTGGGATGGGTTACTCAACACCAACTCAATCCACATGGTTTAACCAACATTCATGTGTTTTTTTTTCTTTTGTGTTTTTTAAAGATGTTTTTTTTTTTCAGGCCCAGAATCTGGTCTCAACTTCCTTAATCCTGTTAAATTAAACCTAGTGGTTGAATTGGAGTTGAGTCTTGAAGTAAATAGAAATACATGCATTCTTTAACTTCAACTAATAATTTATAACTAGCTTATTCACCTGATGATCTGTCTTCTTACTGTGTCTTTAAGCTGATGCCTAAATACAAGACAATTATTAAACCTGCAGAAGGAAATTAATGACAAAGTATAAAACCACCAGCAGCTCCTGGTTTTCTCTAAGCTCCAGTTAGTTTGGCAGAGCATCATCCAAAGTGGGTGATAATTATTTTGTGTTTGCATCTGACTTTTTCAATTCTTTTGGTTTTTTGCTTTCTTTAAAACAGTCTAAATGTTCATTGAACACACGTATGCAGTTGTCCATTCCAGTTGTCCTATTCATGTTTAATTAATATTGGAACATTTGAAATCAGGATTTTCCCTTTTTGAAACCATATGACTTTTCACATACAATTTAACATCATCAGCATAGTGATTTCAGAATGTTAGAATTTTTTTGTGCTGATTAGTGATATGTTTTCCTGTCAACATTGCATGTTCTGTCGGAGCTACATCTGCATGTGTCTTCATTGATATGTCTTTGTAGGAGGGATGGGCGATGTTTAGGTGGGGCATTCATTCCTCTGCAGATTTGCATGAGTCATGGAATCTTGAGTGTGTGCGTGTGTGCACGCACGTGTGTGCGCGTGCTGTTTCTTTCACTCTCTTCAGTCTCTGCTTCAGTCTCTCTGCTCTTCTCTCATTTTGTCACGGCCTTCACTTTTATTCGCTGTCTCTCTTTCCTTCTCTGTCTCCATCTGTTGCCCATCATGAACTCTCACTTTATATATTTATGGTGTGATTGCTGTTTAAACCCCCATTGATTGCTTTGTTATGAAGGTTCCCATGCCTCTTCCATTGCCCCTAATGGTACCTGCTGCGTACTACCACCAACACCAACACCACCACCTCCTCCACTCCTACTCCTCCTGTCTCGCTATGCCCAAGTGCGTCGCTGGTACCTGAGTTAGGCCCAGAGTCTGCAGCCGTATGGCACTGAGTAAAACCCGAGCCTGAGGCCTGCCCCTGTTTCTGTCCTGTGATGCGCTGAGCCAGCAGGAACTGGATTTTGCTTCAGATCACCAACTACAGCAGTGGCAGCCATGGCAACTGCAGCAGCACCAGTTGTCATGGTAATGCAGCCATGGAAGTTATAAGCCTGCTTGCTGATCTGAATTGTACTGGACTGTACTAGTCTAAATGGCAGGGATGGGAGATAAATAAGGAGATGTTTTCAATCAGTGTCACCTCGAACGCTCCCCATATCCTCCTCCTGTTTCTCTGAAGACGTCTCAGGTCTGCGTCCTCCAACATCTGTGCCAATGTCTTCTCAAAGTCAGATGAAAGACGAGCCTCTTCATCTCTCTATTTTCATTTGATCCTTCACTGCCCTCTGCCTGTGGGGTGGAGTAATAACTTTGGACAGAGAATTGGTGTCATAACTCACAGTGACCAGAACCTGTGAACCATCTGGGAGTTTTTAAGACTGTTTTCGGGACCACTCGGTGACCTTCTTCAAAAATATGCTATGAGACCTCTTCTGTCTGGATAATCTGTTACAAAACAATTGACTTCCACTCACACTTTGAAGCATTTGGAACTGTAAAAGCATTGGGACTATGTCTGGGCAAGTGACAGTCATGGCACTGATGGGCTGAAAGAACAGTTTTATTGAGGATTGGATTCAAAACTAAAGGACAAATGACTACAAATATATGGACAGACTTCATACACGGTGGTGCAGTTGTAGATTGACAGAACCAGAGCTAAAAGAGTGGCTTATTTCAACACACCATCAACGTCCTCCTCTACAGCCACACCTTTGTTCAACTCAACAAAGCCTGCAAGTAAAGTTTTCACCACTGGGTCTGAAAGACAGCACCACCTCTTTATTTTCTGTTAGCCGTTCTCTTTGGTTAATCCACAGCCTGGTTACTGCATTTTTGATGCCTTCATGTGAACTTCCTGCCTTCGACAACCTGCCGTAATACGGACTCATCAAACCGGTGAACAAGAAACATTGGGTTTTCAGACTTTTTGGCCGACACAAAAACTGTGAAGTTTGAAAACAGAAATGTTTGTGTGGACAACTCCCAGAGTTTTTGTCATCTCCATACTCTCAAGGATTAAGAACTCTGAGGATTATAAATAAACATCGATAAAGAACACGTTCAAAACCTGGCATTTTAAAGACATAATTTTGACATTTGTGGACTAAGCTAAGAACCTCATCCAGACCCAGCTAGAAGTTTAACATCTCAACCCCCAAAAGACTCTGAGATCAGCAGTCAGTCAAGAAAAGCTGGTCTCCAGGCCCATTCAAGAAAAAAGTCCAAACCTGTGATCAGTTCCTGCGTGGTGGCTAATCTGCACAGTCAAATCCAGCCCCGCCCTCTCACCTCTGCCTACTCTGATTGGATCCTTGTTGCCTAGATACAGTACACACTGTCGTGAGGTTGGGCCATAGTCAAGCCAGTAAGGAATCAGGTGTCCAATGGTTTATTGGTGACAAATGGTTAAACTGAATTAATTTAATGTTTTAAAAACCTTTTTACAGAGGTTTAATGAATAGGTGGAGGGAATACTAGTCTTTAGTATAGAATAATGGTTAAGTTTTGACACCAGTGTAAACTCATCAGACATCAAAATGTGTTAATGATGTAGCAATATTATGTTAATGACAGGCCCACAGATCTGTTAGTGTCCAACACTTTGCTCTTCTTCTCTGCTCCATAGTCGTAGTCCTCAGTGTACTGAGTTCATACTTGGTTCTACGTTGTGCGTGCACTCATTGTATCACATCTTTGTTAGAAATAATTTTACTGCATTTTTTTCATAGTGCCATTAGATATTGTTTTAGCTTTGATTGAATAACTACCATGTCGGGAGAACAAATGTTCATTATTGACCACAATAATTATAGATTAGACTTTATGGACATTGTAATGGGTATGACATCAAAGATGGATGACAGCGTATGAACTGAGATTATTACAGACTGACTACTCGCACACTCAGTGGCACCAGGTCACAGACACATGCCGCCTGTTGTTAAGTATTAAATATATTAAGTCTTATATTGTTTTTATTTTAATTTTAATTGTAATTGTTTACTATGTTGTTTTAATTACAAAAGTACTTTTTGTTGAAGCTACAAATGACACAGTTGAGTTTATGGAGTCAAACATTTTAGCCACATGACACTGACAGGTTTGTTCACCTGTCTATTTCCACATCACTCTGCACTTTGTTTTTGTAATGCCACACCATCATTTCACATTTCCGATCATAGCCTTCTGTCCTCAGAGAGCAGTAATTGATGCTGGAGCAGAGACCAAGAGCCGATCAGTGTCTGGATCATCTGTCGGCTGCAGTGTTAGCTAACGTAGCATTTTAGCCTCTAGGCCACTTTTAACTTCAACTTGCCCCTCCCCCTTCTCCTCCACTTGTCCTGTTTCACCTCTCTGTTGATGCCTGGTTTGGGTCCATCCTGCTGGTTCTCATCTCACCCCACACCCCTGGGGTCTCTGTATGTTCTCTCTTTCTCTCTCTCCCTCTAGAGCACCACAACTAAGGCTTTTGCTGCTCGCAAGATATCCTTGACCAGTGAGTACATCACCACAGTGTTCTTTTTTTTTTGTATCTACCCTGTGTTTCCCAAGGTGGGAGAGCAGGGCTCACGGTGGGGTGTGAAGTCATGCAGGGCTGGACACGGCAATGCAGAAATAGTCCTCAATGTTGATGGGTTTTTTTTATTATATTTGTGCCACAGCGGAAAAAGTTCAGTGAAGATGTAGAGCATTATGAATCTGTGGATATGGGGTGGGACATGACCATAGTCCTACTAAAGGGGGCGCTAAAGGTTGTGTTTGTGAACCACTGGAATGACCTCCATATGTTTCATCCTCCTAGAAAATGAATTCCCTTTTAATTTAATTTATTGTAAAGGTATTATATTATATATTTAATACATATTTGATGTAGTGTTTATTATTAAAGTAACACAGTGTCATCCAAGTGATGAGTGAGGCTCGTCAATAACAACAGCTGTACATTAGTCTCCTCTGGTAATCAGCAGAAGAGCAGAGTCTACTTCCAGAGATGGTGGTGAATTTCCATCACCTGTTGTAGTCGGACAGAAAAACACTAGGATTTGATGCATCTTTGGAATGTGCCATCATCGCATCATCACATGTTTTGACTGGTTAGATGGAATTTGAATAAAGTACCAATTAACACATGAAGTGACATGAAAACTGTTAGACTGTGTCTGCGCTCAGCTCAGGGGTGAAGAGTTTTAAATCTGCATCAACTTGTCCCAGAAATGATGAGCAGCAGAGACATGACTTTCTTCACTGTCTGCTGAATGTTCCCACTGCTGACCCCACAGACCCCAAGACTTCTCCAGCCACCACAGATGGAGGAGGAGCAGGAGAGGGGGAAGCAGGAGTGGCAGCCGGGAGGAAGAGGAGGTGGGGCTCCAGCACAGCTGTCACTGCTAAGAAACCATCCATCAGCATCACCACAGAGTCACTGAAGGTACTGTTCCAGGACAGTGGACTGTGTGTGTGTGTGTGTGTGTGTGTGTGTTTGGGCTGCTGTTGACCTGTCTTCTCTCTTCAAAAGTCTTTGATCCCAGACATAAAACTGGAGGCCGTGGTTGACCTGCATCCAGAGGAGCTGCAGCTGTCTGGAGACGAAGGCAAACAGGAGAACAACCACAGTGACGAGGACAAAGGTCTGAAGATCAGACGCACCGTCACACAGGTAAGAGGTCACGCCGACAAAGACAAGTTTGGTTTTCCTTCCAACACAGACTGTGACGCTCAGTCATTTCTCACAGGTGGTTCAAGGTGACACTCAGGAGAATGGGCAGGAAGAAGATGATGAGGAAGAGGAGGTGCAGGAACAGGTGGAGAAGATGGAGAAGACAGAGAAAGAAAAACACAGTTCCAGAGACAGAAGGAAGAGCAGTGTTTCAGAGGAGACCTCAGAATCTCAGACATTTGCCAACATGGATGGAGATGTCAAGAAAGGTGAAGGACATCCCTGATTTTTTTAAAATAAATGTCTGACCCTACATCTTCTCACATTCTCCTCCTGTTTTCAGTCACCCCCAGGGACAGCCTGGTGCGTCGCTCCATCAGTCAGCAAAAGTCTGGCGTCTCCGTCACTATTGATGATCCTGTTTGTGCAGTGAAGCAGCCGTCACCACCCAGAGGCCAGATCTCCAAAATCATCCATGTCACCAACCTGGTGGGTTTGGAACTGATTGACGTTCATCACTTTGGTCTTTATGTTTTTGCTCTGACCCAAACTGAAATTGGTCTTGAGCTTTACCGTCAGTGTGCATTGAAGAGCAGACAAAGTCAGACGTGTTTTTAGTCAGCACACCTTCTCCTGAGGGGGATTTCTTAAAGATTTGGTCTCCCTTTATAAATTATATACCAAAGCAACTGAGAGATTTGCTTTCAAAAGGAGATCACTTTTCAAAAACTTCTATGACCGCCTTGTAGTTTGGGGATTCTGCATTATCACAGTAGCTCGGTTTTTGTCTTTGGTACTCTGATCTGGGCTGCACACATTTGTTGCACCTTTCTAAGGTTTATTGTTACTCCTGCTCTGTCTGTGTTTATTTATTTTGTACCATTATATTCAATGGCTGTCTTGGGTGGGAGAGTATGTGATTGCTGTGTTGTTTGGTTTCTGTTTTGTTCAACTTGTAAAAATTCAATAGAAATAGGACGTGGAAACTAGCAGTGTAGAATAAGTGTCAGCCTTTGGGTCCAAACACCTTTAACAAAAACAGTGGCTAAAATAGATCTGTGACTCAAGTCAAAATATTTCAAAGGGTTGGAAATACAAAAGGAGTTTGTAGACTTGGGCCTGCAGGTGGCGCCAAAAGGGAGGCATGTTGTCAGGGAACCATCAAGCCTCTGAACCTCGTTTGGTTGATGCCATGACTGGGATTGAAGGCAGTGGCTTTTGTTGTTATTTTTCCACGTCTTAAATGAATTAATGTTGGGTTGTTGTTTTTTTTGTTTGTTTTTTTTTTTTTTTTCCCCAAAGGTTCGTCCATTCACTCTGGGTCAACTCAAGGAGCTGCTCAACAGAACAGGCTCGGTCCTGGAGGATGGATTCTGGATTGACAAGATCAAGTCTCACTGTTATGTCACTGTGAGTTTTGGATCCAAAATAGTTAGACAAATTTTTTTATGTTACTAAAACATCAAGTGAAAAAGTTTTTAAAAAATAGTTGGGTTTGAAGATCTCCTTGTATTTTAATTTAAAAAGTTTGTGATGTGACCACCAGTCTTACACATAAAAGTGTGTAAGAACAATCTCAGTCAGTCATTTCCTGTCCTGACAGTACGCCACCACAGAGGAGGCCGTGTCCACCAGGAACGCCATCCATGGAGTCAAGTGGCCTTCCAGCAATCCCAAAGTTCTCAGCGTGGACTTCTGTGGACAGGACGAGGTGAGACATGGCCAAAATATACAAACACACACACCTGTAGACTGACAGCACAGTATGTGTTTAACTGTCAGAATGATTATTTATTGGCTCGTTGTTGTTTTTGTTAGTTTTACTCTTGTTGTTCTGGTTATCTGATTCTGACTTTTGTCTCTAACGCTGTGTCTAACTTTGGACGTCACAGCTACAAACTGTCTAAGTTTCTCATTCGTTACCTTAGCATCAAACATTATTTTTCCTGCTTCTTCACTCTGAACTGATTTGTCATCTGTGACGTTGGTGTCCGTCCACAGCTGGACTTCCACAGAGGTATCCTGAAGCCAGAAAAGGAGGTGGAGCACATCCAGGTCCAAGCTCCAGGTGCTCCTCACAACCGACTTCCCCCACTGATGCCGGAGCGAGACAGGGACAGGGAGCGTGAGAGGGACAGAGACAGGGACAGGGAGGAGAAGGACAGAGAGCATGAACGGGACAGGGAACGAGGAGCAGCTGGAGTTAGGGACATTTGGGCCGAGCGGGAGAGAGAGATGGAACGCCGTGAGAGGGCACGCGGTGAACGGGAATGGGACCGGGACAAGATCAGGGAATATGCCGGACCCGGAGAGGATGAAAGGAGATCCCGGTCCAGGGAGAGAGAGCGAAGGAGGAGGGAGCGGGCCAGGAGTAAGGAGAGGAAGACGGACAAAAAAGGTAGAACTTCTGGCTCTAGCTGTGAAGAGGTTTGTCAGTGCACTGGCACTGGATCAGAGGCTAGAACTTTTCTGATTGAACTGTTTTCTCTCTGAACAGAAAAGGGCGACGAACCTCCGGCCAAACTTCTGGACGACCTGTTTCTCAAGACCAAAGCACCTCCGTGTATCTACTGGCTTCCCCTCACAGAGGAGCAGGTTGGTGCAGCACACGCTGCTGTGGTTGGACTTTCCTGAACCTTTGATGTGGAGACTTGACCCTCACCCACTGTCCTTGGTGCTGATGTCTCTGCCAAACAGCATTTACTAATTTGATACCTTCTATCCACCAGGCGGCGCAGAGGCTGCTTGACCGCACAGAGAGGCAGAAGGAACGTGAACGACGGCGCAAGGAGCAGCAGGAGGAGGAAGACAAGAAGCGTGAGGAGGAAAAGAAGGAGCGTCTGAAGATCAGGGAGAAGGATGGTGGAGGAGGTGGAGGCAGTGCAGGAGGTGGAGGCAGTGGAGGAGGGGGAGGTGGAGGCGGCAGTGGCGGCAGTGCAGCTGGCAGTGCAGCTATTAACAGAGGAGCAGACAGACGAGGAACCAATGGAGACAGAGAACGGGAGAAGGAGAGGGAACGAGGCCGGGACAAAGAGGGAGACACAAGGAGGGACAGTGGAGGTCACAGGCCACAGAGACTCTCTGGTGGACCTGGAAGTGGACGTCGGTCTCGTAGCCGTAGCAACCCTCGAGACAGACGCCGCTGAGGTGATGGAGGGAGAAACAAACGCTGCTGCTGCTGGGAGGGCTTGAAGGGAGGAGACGCAGCAGACAGGAAGTGTGGCTCCGCCTGGTGAAGCATAAGGTTCAGGATGAGAGTCTGCTTTAATTTGTCCACTCTGCTTCCAGAAAATTCTCCTCAAATTTATGCAGAAAAAAGAATGTTGATTACAGTTGGATTTTAAGGAAATTGGGGGTTCGTCTCCTTCCTGCTCCTCTGTCTCCTCCTTCTGTCTGTTCTGTTTTTTTTTCTGTTCCAGAAGAGAATCTCTCCTCATGTAGAGCACAGCGTTGTACCTCCTCTTCCTCCACCCTCTCCTCCTCCTCCTCAGTGGAAGGGCGGTGGTGGTTTCCTCTGGCTGGCCTCAGCATTTTGTTCCACTGAGGTTTGGGTTCCAGCCTGTGTTCTATTTCAGTTCTGTGGCTGCACAGCTCCTTCCTCCTCAGAACCCTGTAATAAAAGCTGTTCAGAATAGAAGCCTGACCTTCACCTATTTTTCTAGGGTGTGTTTTTAAGTTCCTCTCAGACGGTTGGTGTCAGCGTGACTCCACCAGAGAGTTTTTTTTTCCTTGTTAGTTTTATGTCAGATCATGTTTGTTTGTTTTCTGCTTTGGAGGTTTTGTGAGATTGTTCCACCAACCACTGAAGTCTTCACACTGAAGAAATTGAAGACGTGAACGAAAAACACCACAGGACAGGAAGTTCTCTGTCACAAACAGGAAGAGCTGCACCGATCATCCGTGCCTCGGTCTTTGAATCATGTTCAACAGGAGGTGAACACAGTGATGGTCACTCTTTTAATCTTTTTTTTTAATCAGTTTTTAGTTGGAAAATCTTTTGATTTTGTTGTATTTCCCCCCCTCCTGTAAGTTCTAAATGTACTGAGAATTTAAAAATAAATTTAAATTGGTTCTGATTCTCTGGGTGAGTAATGTTTGTTGACTTGTTTCATTTATTGGCTGTGACTTTAAGAACCGGTGATTGTTCAGGACCAGACTTAGATCGCACTATGGGAAAATCACATGGACCAATTGTTCTGCTCATCAGTCATTCAACAGTCAGTCAAAGGCATCGCCACTTGTGGGAATTTGGTCGATTGAAAATAAAATGTGTCATAATTCAGCCATTTGAATGAAGACTACAGAACTGTGTGTATTGTCGACAGTTTTATTCCAGTTCTGGTTACTTTATAAGCAGTATGTTGTCATGGTAAATCCAAGATTGAAATCTTGTGACTTAAAGATGTCTTGGTTCCACCTGCCGTCTCTTTGTTTCTCTCTTGCTACCTTCACCAACAGAACATGGTTAATGCCTTTGTTGACAGTACTTAATGCAGTACTACTCAAATAGTGAAGCGCCAAGAAGGTAGTAGGGGGTTGGGCCTAAGAGGCGTCCAACCACTGACCAGGTGGAACGGCTTTGTTTTTGAGTGGATTGAAGCCATGCTGCATAAGGTGGCTAGAAATTAATCTTGTACGGTGCCGTGCTCAGAGCACCTCAGTGGTGACTTGGCAGCTGGTGGACTCCAACCTGAGGCCTTCCTGCCCCAAGTCCACTTCCTTAACCACTAAGCCACCACTCCCAGAAATCTAGAAGTGTAACTGTCTTTAAGGACAAAGAACCTCAACATCATGTACACCTGGAGTGTCCCTCAGTGTCCCTCAGCTGGGTGTGCCTTCTCTACAAAGGTTATTTAATTGTGATTGGATATCACACCTGACTATCATTCGGTCTCCGTTTGATTGGCCACCGCAGAAGTCACAGACAACAACTGGCATGTCTATATCATTGTTTTAACAAGACAAAATAATTTATTATTCTGCAATTCATTGCAAAAATAGTTTGTGAAACAAGAATGAAATATTTATTACAACGTACAGAAAAAAAAACAGTTATTGTTTACCAAATTTTACAGATTGAAGTAACAAAACTTACAGTAAAGTCAAGTTTAAGTGCAAAATGTTTTTCTTTTTATGCGAAAACAGTTTTAGCAAAAAAAAAAAAAAGTCCCTTGTTCTTCTACAGCAAACAGTAGCCACATTAGGGGTAATAATAATAATAATAACAATAACAAAGCAGTAGTTTTGTTCCCGTTCCCTTAAAAGGTTGTTACAGTAATGGTACAAAAACAGCAGGCAGTTAAAAAAAGACCTGATCAAAGTTTTTATCCACAGCAGTTTTCTTCTCTGGCGTGAGCAGGAAGCAGGACAGTCGCTGAGACGCAAGCGCAATACTTTTCCTTTCCCCGTCAGTGTGTGTTGTGAGGCGGAATGTTGTGTGTGGCGCAAACTCTGGTCATGTGACAGGAGTGGCAGAGGAGGTGGGAGTCCAGGGGGAAGCACTGAGAGCCCGGTTTATCAGACAGCTGCTTACCACACTCCTGGGAACAGGAAATGAGAGACAAGAGGACAGGAAGTGAAATCAGGGGTAAACGCAGGTGGTAATGTTGAGTTTGGTGGCCACGCCCACTTACCTCACAGTGGTAACACTCAAAGTGATAGTCCTTGTTCATGGAGACCACCCTGAGAATCTCCTCAGTGCCCTAAGACGACAAACAGACCAGTTGGTTACAACAACATGTACATGTATGAACAGACTGACATAGTAACAGACTGACATAGTAACAGACTGACATAGTAACAGACTGACATAGTAACAGACTGACATAGTAACAGACTGACATAGTAACAGACTGACATAGTAACAGACTGACATAGTAACAGACTGACATAGTAACAGACTGACATAGTAACAGACTGACATAGTAACAGACATCAGAACTGATTCAGAGTTTGGATCACTTCTGTCAGTCGCAGCTGTTGGTGCTGCGCTGACTTTTTAACAACTTCCTGACTCTATGTTGAGGAGAATCCAGGCAGCTGGTGGTCAAACCCAGGACTAGTGAGGTGAACCTAATAAAGAGGCAGGTGTGAGTCCAGGCGTACTCACCTCAGCCGGCAGGATGGGCTGTAAACAGGCAGCACATTTAGGAGCAAACGTCCTGCAGCAAAGACAAAAGTCAGGAGTTAGAGAAGCTAACGTTAGCTCTGAGGAGGTCGAACAGACAGGTTCAGGTTGGACCAGGTGGACAGACGTGTCTGATGATGATGAATGTGGATTAGATGAAGTCATAACCACAGAGATATAATCATTTTTATTTTATGATATACATTTTTATATAAACTTTGGTTCGTTGAAGCTGGAGCTGTGAGGAAGGGTCTCTGAAAATAAGGTCAATGATAGACAGAGGACGTGGTCGTCAACCAAGGACAAATTATGTTTTTGTGAAAACCCAACGACTCTGCAATAATAACATGGTAACATCAGACATAACAGTGGCTCTAAAATAGCGCCTCCTATCTGTATATCCTGAGCTGAACATGTGAAATGGGGCTGTTTCCCTGTCCTTCACTGGGTGTTCTTTTTTCAGCAGGTGAAGTATCTGTCGTCTCCATGACAACAATGCTCTGATAGACTGTCAGCAGGACACGGTTATCCTTTGGCCTTTGCAGCAGTATCTCATGAATACGTTGAACCTGTGTGTTCAATTTTCAATTCCTGAGACCTTGATTCACCTCAGTCCTCCCAGTCAATATTTATGAAGAATAGCTGTCTACAAGACGTGGGCCACAGGCCCACTGACTCACTTGTTGTAGTCGGCTACACAGTAGATGTTACTGTGCTGGTCCACGGTGAAGGGGACTCCGTCCAGAGCCTTGGAGCAGACCACACAGCGGAAACAGCCGGGGTGGTAGGAGTTTCCCATAGCCTGTAGGATCTGAGGGAGGAGGACAGAGTCAGGGTTAAAAACAAAATAAATGAATTTAACTTTTCAAGATCGTTTAACTATTAGTGCTTAAAGGTAGCTTTAAACAGAAAAGCTAAAAATCAGTCCAAAAAAAATCTCACAAAGATAGCGTCAACATAACAACATTAACATTAGAAATACTTAACTTAAAATGAGTCAACATATATGTACAGCTAAGCCAAGAGTAGCTGAAAAAAGATGACACCACTTGATAGTTGTCTCAAGATAAAGGGTGAGGACAGAAATAAAGACTCAAATATCTCAGTGTTTTCCCCTTTCAGACCATTCAGAGTGAACGCTGAGAAGAGTGTGTGTGTGTGTGTGTGTGTTTGTGTCTCAGACAGACTGGCAGCTCTGTGTTTATATTATGGGATATTTTCTGTGTTCAAACATCAGATTTCTCTGATTCATGCTGCGACAGTCAAAGCAAACATTCCACAGAAATGTGTCCTGGGAACCGACGGAAAGACGTCACCCACTAACTCTGCTCTGTGGGAAACTGCTCTGTAGTGGTGGTGGTGGTGGGGGGGGTGGTCTCTGAAGGGATGGACAGACTGTGGTCTCCACAAAGTATTCTGGGAAAATTTCTAAAAGCTAAAAATGTTCCGGGTCAGGTTCATGGATACGAATTAGCCAAAGTTCTGAGAAGGAAAAGTTCTGGAAATCTCAGAAACAGACGGGGAGGTGAAAGAGTCAAAGAGTTTTGGCCAAACATCGTGACAATAGAAGTCTATCTAGGCTTCTGTACTACACACAACTTCAGATATAGGACATGTAGCTAACAGTTTGACCATAAAAGCTTACAGGTAGCCAACATACGGCTAGTTTAGTTAGCATCAAAAACTACAAATTCACCAAGTTAATAGATTAGACTTAAAAAAAACAAAGTCTAAGAATGACTACGTCTGGGTTCAGAAATCATCTGAAAGACGAAATGAACACCAGACAAAATAGCTAAAAGTACATGCTAAAGAAATCAGGCAACAATAACTACCACACACACACACACACACACACTGACCTGCTCCAGGATGAGGTGACCACACACACTGCACTTCTCTGCCGCAGCTTGAAATCCTGAAAACTGTCAACAAAAACATAGGTTTAGTGAAGGAGTGAGGATTTCTGTCTCTTTCTGCCATAGTGTGTGTGTGTGTGTGTGTGTGTGTGTGTGTGTTTGTTCCTCTCTCACCATGTAATCCTCTTTACAGTACACAGAGCCACTGACGTTGTAGAAGTCCTTGTTCCTCAGAGTTCGTCCTGTGGACGGAGACACAGTCGTTGTCATCAAATCAAACTCTGGTCAGCTGGGTCAACATAACAACACCAACACCACAGGTCGTTGCAATTAATGATTAAGTTAAAAAAAGCGAAAAATTTAGCCTAAGGTCTCTAAAGGTTAGCTAACAAAAAAGTGATGGACAAAACTGCAGACATTAGCCACAGTTAGCACAGGTTTACACCAGGAAAACAACATGGCGTCACTGTGGCAAATTTACTAAAAAAAACCTCACTGACCAGTTACTAAACATTCAGACAATTAAAGCTAGATTCAAATGATGATAAAACCTGAAAGTCAATTTAAAGACAAGTAAAAATAACTGGAGAAATAGAGAAAGGACCAAATTAGGCTCCAAGGAATCGTCCAGAAAAAGAGATAAGACAAGGAGGAGAGGGGGAAGATGGAGGAGGAGGAGGAGACTCACCACAGGACACACAGGTGAAGCAGCGAGTGTGATAAAGGTTGTCCAAGGCCTGGCAGGCGTTGTCCGCTCCGTACACACCCTTCCCACACTTCACACACGTCCCTGATCACACAACACACACACACACACACAGTTAGTGAAGTCACTCCTCAGTTTACATCACATTCCTGGAAGGTCTGTGTGAACTCCCAGGAGTGTAAATCCTCTGGTTCACACCACCAGGGGGCTGTTCACACCGTTCACACTCACCTGTGTAGATGTTACCTTTCAGAATGGAAAATCTGCAGTTATTGGCAGAAACTTCAAGAACTAAAACCACAATAACAATTTTAAAATTCCATCCTTCAAACCTACAATTTAGAGAATCTGGGGATTAAAGCCCAGGAAGAAGAAACCCCAGAGAACAAACGTCTGGAGAGATTTGAGTCGGAACTGGGGTTTTATTCCTGCAGAACATCATCCATGAATCAGTGGCTCGTCTGTCAGTTTCACTTTGTTACTACTTTTGTCACCAGGGGGCGTCAGAACTCAGAACGCAATGATTTCAACAATAAAATAAATGTGTTTCATGTCAGATTTCACAAGAGTGAGGAGATAAAAACCAAGGATGGAACGTTTATAATGGTGTAAAAAAAACATCTGGAGCTGTTAGCTACTAAAATGGAAGCTAGGCTAAAGTTTAACCCAAAGCCTCAGCAAATCAACCAAATAAATACATCAACGTAGTTTAAGGTTCACTAAAGGTTACTGAAAAGATGGGAATATTGGTAAAAAAAAAAATCCCATGTTGACACATTGAAAAAATAATTTACCAAAGTTAGTTCATTGTAAGATAGAATGTTCCGGCCCCACAAGAGCTGTCCTGGTGCCATCGTTGGCTTGCAGGCCTTATGTTGGAAACACCTGCTACACAGCTCATAGGTGAATGAGGTCCACCGGGGGCGTTAGAGAGGGGCAGTGACTTTAGTCCAGGAGGCCACAGCCCTCTGATCTATTTCAGGACCCTCTCGTGTCATTTCCTGTTTCTAATGTGGCTAAGGGAGTGTCACACACACACATATCCCAGAATTCCTCAGGATATTCAGGAACCAACGCTCCTCTCTGCCAAAACCAGAGGCCGACCAGAGGCTCCAGGCTCAGACTTTAATTTAGAGTATGGTTTGGGTCTCAGCTCCAGAACTGTCCAAACTGAGACCGTCCACTGGGTCACGTCCCATGTTCCCCATATTAGACTTGTCATTGTCAAGGAACTGAAGACGAGGATCGTGCCTGTTGTTGTTGTTGTTGTACTTTGTTTTGTTTTTTTTAATTTTAGCTAATTGTGACTTTTTCGATGACTGTTTTCATTTTTACCTGTCGTGGCTCTGACCTTCCTACATCCATCCCAACTATTTGTTGGTCAATCCTAAACAACTTCAGATTAAAAATACACTTTGGTTGAATGTGACTATTCTAAGCAATATTTGCATACTTTTTTTCTGTAATTAACTTTTAGAATTTTTAGCCCCATCAAATATCTGTCAAGGATTGTTTTTAAGATATTTAAATATAAAAAACACTTTATTTTAATCATTACAGGTGTTTCAGCTTTCTCACTTTGTGACTGATGAGCATCTGAATGATGTCATAAGATAGGCCACGCCCACCACTCTTTGACCACACAGAGGGTGGAGACAGGCTGTAACGTGTGCTCTCTTTTCTTCTCTTCACTACAGTATTTTCAATCATTCATAATCTGGACTTTTTAGCTGAGCCTGAACTTGTGACTTCAGAATCTAACCAACAACCTCTGCTCCTCTCCTGAGTGATAATGGAAGGATAGTCCTTTTCCTTTCATTGTTAATGTGCTGTGTGTGTGTGTGTGTGTCAGCTGAGTGTTAAAGCCTCGGTGTTAGCAGCCTCTGATTTCTTCACTACAGTATTGTATGTCCCCTCCAGGCACACATACCTGAGCGGTAAAAACAGGCTGCAGCACACACCGCCCTCACACACACACACACACACATGCACGCCTGTATGACTCACACACACACACACGTGCATTACTGTGGCCTGAAGTCACTCTTGAGCCAAACACACCCTGCCGCAGAGAAACAACACACACGTCTCCCTGCAGACTCACAAACGTCTGTGACTCAGTCCTGGGTCTGGATGGTGTTTGTGTAGTGATCAGTTAATGGCTTGTTTTTGTGTTAGCCCTGGATTTCACAATTAGAACCTGTGACTGCACCAAATACCTTCTGAGTTTGACTACTGTGACGTGGTTCTAGACAGCAGCAGGGATGTTCAAAGTCTGGTCCCTGGGGCTAATTGTGGCCCTGAGAAAAGTCATGTATGTACTTTCAATAACCACTGCTTAATAACCTTTAGTTATGTTGTTATAATGTTCTGACATCCGTTGGATCTTCTGCTAGTTTAATGTTTCTTCTCACAGTTACTGCTAATCTACATTTTCATTCTCTTTTGTCAGTGTTTATAATTTTGGCTAACAATTTTAAGGCTAACCTTTAGTTACTCTTCATGGACAACCTAAGATTTCTGCTTTACTAGCAACATTTTCTGAAGGTTTGTGAGCTTTTCCCTCTGACATTATGGCCTGCTGCTACAGTCGTACATGTCTTTGCAGGTTCTAAAGCTCCATCCATCCATCCATCCATCCATCCATCCCTCCACCCTCCCATACCCACTTCACTCTAACTCTAACCTGGCCCTCCATGATGACATCCAGCTCCACAAGCCTCTCATTTTCAGAGAACTTGTGATCTGACACCAGGCAGCAGAAAGGAACATAATAATAACACGCTGAGGGCGGATGCTTTGAGAGCCAGCGCTCCATCGTGAATACATGGGATGCCGTGCATGTGCAGTGACGGCAGCGGCTGTAATGACAGGCATTATTGGGCCACTTCTGTTAATCGCAGCCTTGTTTACCCTTTTCCTGAAAATGACAGTTAAAGAAAGGAATCTCACCAAAATACTCCTGCCGGTTCTCCACAGCCTCTCTTCCTGGATCCTCCTGAGGTTTCACTGGACCTCCAGCGGAGGAAGGCACTACTGACACTGCCGAACTGGGTTTGGAGACAGCAGTCAGACCCACAGACTGCTCTTTTAACATGAGACCGTCCAGGAGACCCTCACCTTCTAACGCTGCGTCTCTCAGTATAAGTCGGGTCAGCTCCTCCTGGTACCTGGTGCCAGGGAGGTCTGAATAGCGGGCTCTCTCTCCCATCACACACCCTTCTTTGCCTCGTACTCCCACCTGCTGCTCATCCCACCACTCTGGAGCTCCCTGGTAGCAGGACGCTCCTGGACTTCCGACAGCAGGAGGGTAGGAGTGTCGCGTATCGTGGGCCCAGGCCTCCACCGGGGTCATGCCGGCCCGGCCTGCAGCTCCATAACCAGCCATGGAACCTCCACCCGCCTGCATGGAGGGCGAAGGCTGCTGTGGAGGAAATCCTCCAGAGGCGGAGTAACGAGAGTCGTAGCCCAGACTGATGCCACTGGTCCGGTTGCTGCTGCAGCGGCTGCCCATGGGGCTGCCCCCTCCTCCCCCACTGGCCGTGCTGGAGGCAAAGCTGGACCTTGGGCTGACAAGCACCGACTCCTGGAGGCTGAATGAGGAGCAGGGGCTTACAGCTGGCCCTGGTGGGTAAAAGAAGCTTCCTCCTACGCCACCTCCGGTCACATCTGATGGACGATGGGGGGGTTGTGAGAAGGACGCCGGCCTGGTGCTCTCCCACATCTCACTTCCAGTGCTAAGGCGTTTGTAGAAAAGAGCTTCTTGGAGGGAGAGGCGTTTGTGCCTCTCATGCTCAGGGAGGAACCCATGCTCGGTACCAAGGCACCCTCCTCCACTTCTAGGAGCCGATCCATAACCTGTGGTGGTGGGGTATGGCGGTGGGACAGAGAGAGGTGGCGGCTGGGAGAGGAGCTGCTGTCGTCGCACCAACTGCTGGAGCTCCAACGAGTAGCGCCGTTGGTTGAGGGACGTCTTTGAACCGTAGGTCCCCATGGGGTCACACTCCGGGCCCAGACCAGATTCACGCCTCATGTGGGAGTCCACACCTTCACCCAGATAACAGGAAGCCCGTTGCTGTGGAGAGCGGCGTCGAAGCGGCGCCAAGGTGGAGGGGTGAAGCGGTTGCTCCCCCTCTGAGGGCATGGCCCCCACCGTGGTGGAAGTCTGTGGCGAGGGAGGCATAACCATCCCTCCTCCTCCTCCTCCTCCTCCTCCTCCTGCTGATCCTCTGCCAGTCGCTGGAACACATGCATCACTTGTGGTTGCAGGGGCAAGCGAGAACTGGCCGGGTCTTGAGGGCGAGGCAGCTGTGGAGCTGGGAGCTGATGGCAGACTGCTCCCTCCACCTCCTCCAGCACCTCCTGCTGAGCTGCCAGCGTTGGCATTGCTGTTATTAGCATTGTTGGCAGAGTCCTGTTTTTTCTTGGAACTGTTGAATTTCACACTGCCCGAGTCGGTTAGCTTTAACTTCTCCAATAACTTGCTTATCGGTCTATCCATGGTGAAGCCTCGTCGTGTCTGGTGCTGTTTGGTTATTTTCCTTTAAATACCTGTCTAGGCAAAAGTCAAGTCCCTGCAGCTTCACGTCTGAAGTTACAGATTAATGCGGTCAAATACAGTGTGGGGGTAGACGACGAAGTACAGCAGAAAACTTTTAAATAGGAAAAATACTGGCCTTTCTGTAGCTCATCAATTATTTTACACATACACACGATGTAAATGTAAATAAATATGAATCAGATAAATAAAGATGGATTTAAGGAAGAGAACTGCATGGCTGATTTACATTACTAAGGTGAGTCATATGGTTTTCCTTTGTGTGAAACATCCAAAGGCGCAGGTAAGACGTGTCCAAGAACAATCCATCAGATTATTAATATCCGGATTATGAGTTAGAATTCACCTCAAACCTCAGACGAGAAAGGGACATACGCAAAGATCCAGGACACTTGCGAGTGACCTATAGTCGCTGAGGGCCTCCTTTGTGGCCCCTCGTGTGGCTCCACATCTGCATCCTCCCACAGTCCGAACTCTTCTTCAGGAAAAGTCGGCTTTATGTTGTTGTAATCCAGTGTGACTTGTTCAGAAGAAGTTACTTAAAACGTGGAGTTTGAAAAGTGTGGAAGGTTACAGTTTCTTCTTCATGTGGTCTCCAGTGTAGACAAGAAAATAAATCCGTTTGGACACACAAAGTCCAGCCCTGCCATTCAGCTCCGGAAAGAACGTGCTTAGGAATAAAACTATTTTAAAAAGAGACGTGAAAAGGAATATTTAAAACTTAAAATACGTCAACAGGAAACACACGGAAGCACTCTCCAGATCCTTCGCCTGCGTTCGGCTGCTATTATCATCCCCGCTTTTCAAAGAAAATTCCCGGACTTCGGATTCCCAGGAGTAGCGGAGAAGTTTCGGAGACGCGGACGGGAACAATGAGCCGGGAAACCGGTGTCCCGTTACTTTCTGCTCCCTGCGGAGCCGCGCTGGACTCAAAGAGCCTCTGGAGATAAATAAAGATCACTCCCCGTGTGCATTCCACGGTCGACAACTTTGTTTCTTTCTTTCTTCCCCCTAAATAATGACTTACCTCCCCCCTCTTTTTCCCTTTTTCCCCCTTCAACGGTGTCGAGTTAAAGGTGGCGGAAGGAGGTGCTTCCGGCTACAGCTTTTCAAAACAAAGTGTCTCAACAGAACGTTTACGTTCGTACACAAGACAAAACTAGGCAAAAGCCTTCGTAAAAAGAAAACACACTCAGAGCAGCAGCTCTATTCGACACAGCTCTATTCGACACAATAATTAAAAAAGCCAAACGTGTATCTTTAAACGTCAGGCCGATAATAGTTAGGATGATAACAAAATTGGGTGTTTTATTATGAAAGTAACCTGCTCTTATTTGCTTGCGTGTAGTTACAGCTTGACTCCTGACTGGTCCTTTATCAGTGAGGGGCGGCTGGATCCTCCAGCAGGCCGGAACACCTTTCCACCAGACATGGCTCTGTCGTCATTCATACGCAACAATATAAAAGTCCTCAGAGGAGGAGCAGGGGGAGGAGAAGGAAGAGGGAGACCCCCCTTTTAAAGACCTGCTAAAAAACGAATACAATTTCCCAACGTTCAGTTGTTTCTTTAGGAAACGAGCTGAATGTTTCAAAGTGAGGTTCCTTTCACTGAGCTCATGTCTGGAGTCACTTTAGATTCAAGCCTTGATGTCTGAAAGAACTAAACTGTCTCACTTTAGCTGCAAAAATGTATATTAATATAAAACATTAAAAAGTCTCTAAGGACTAAATGTATTTAATCACTTGGTTATAAACATGTAATGTCCTAAATGAGTAGAGTTGTCCTTCAAGATGTGAACAGTGGGCTAACAGTTACAGTTAGCCCACTAACAGTAGTAGTAGTAGTAGTAGTAGTAGTAACAGTAAAGTAATGCTAGAAATAGCTATTACTGAAAGTGTGTGGCTAATAGTCACCATGCGTACCTTGTAATTAGCCAGAAGCTCCTGTAGTTTAACCCAGAAATAACAACCACAGAAACTTTCAAATTACAGAATCTGAAAGGAAATTAAAAGTTTAACAAATTTAAACACTCAAGATTTTCTTTTCATATAAAACACGTGCTTTAGAAAGTCAAGTGAATTAGCAGACGTTGCTGTATAAAACGCGATTCCTGCTTCATCATGTATTGTTTAAAGTACTTTGTCACTTCACATTATAGTAAGTTTAATTTAAAAGATAAAATTGTTCATTTATCTAGGTTTGAGCTGGCTAATTTGAATTTGGAAATGTTATTTTTGGCACCATCTAGTGATAAAATGCAATGGGGTTTTTTATAAACTAACCGCGTTATTCTTGCGGTTAACAGAGAACGAAGAATCAAAGAGTAGAATTCTCTCCTACTTTCATATTTATAATATTTCACATTTT